TGATTTTAGAGGAATAACCTTAAGCTTCTCTCCATTCAGTTTGATTTTGGCTGTTGGTTTACTGCATATTGCTTTTATTATGTTTAGGTGTGTTCTGGTTATCCCTGGTGTCTCTAAGACCTTTATCACGAAAGGGTGTTGCATTTTGTCAAAGGTTTTTTCAGCATCTGGTGAGATGATCATGTGGTTTTTCTTTTTCAGTTTGTGTATATGGTGGGTTACATTGATAGATTTTATATGATGAACCATATCTGCAAACCAGGGATGAAGCCTACTTGGTCATGGTGGATGATTTCTCTGATGTGTACTTGGATTCGATTTGCCTGTATTTTATTGTGTATTTTTGCATAAATGTTCTTGAGGGATATTGGTGTGTAGTTTTCTTTCTTAGTTATGTGTTTGTGTGGTTTGGGTACCAAGGTCATTGTGGCCTTGTAAAAAGAATTTGGTAATGAACCTTCTGCTTCTATTGTGTAGAACAATTTGAGGAGTATTGGTATTAGTTCTTCTTTGAATATCTGGTAGAATTCTTCACTGAAGCCATCTGGCCCTGGGCTTTTTTTGGTTGCAAGGATTTTAATGACTGCTTCTATTTCATTAGGGGTTATAGGTCTATTTTAGTTGCTTATCTATTTTTCATTTAATTTTAGTAAGTGATAGTTATCCAGAAATTTGTTCATTTCCTTTGAATTTTTAAATTTTGTGGAGTACAGGTTTTCAAAGTATGACTTGAAAATTGTCTAGATTTCCTCAATGTCTGTTGTTATGTTCCCCTTTTCATTTCTAATTTTGTTAATTTGCCTGTTCTTTCTCTGCTTTTTGTTAATTTGGATAAAGGTTTGTCTATCTTGTTGATTTTCTAGAAAAACCAACTCTAACAAGCATTGATTTCCTGGTTTCTACTTTATTGATTTCAGCCCTCAAATTGATTATTTCCTGGTGTCTACTTCTCTAGGGTGAGTTTGTTTTTATGTTCTAAGGCTTTCAGTTGTACTGTTAATTCTCTAATGTGATTATCCTCCATTTTCTTTATATGGGCACTTATGCAATGAACTTCCCTCATAGCACTGCTTTCAAGGTGTCCCATAAGTTCAGGTATGTTGTGGCTTCATTCTCGTTGAAGTCTAGGAAGTTTTTCTTTCTTGTTTCTTCTTTGACCCAGGTATGGTACAATTGCGCATTGTTCAGTTTCCATGAGTTTGTAGGGTTTTTGCAATTTGTGTTGTTAAATTCCAACTTTAAAGCATGGTGGTCTGATAAGATACAGGGGAGTATTCCAATATTTTTTGTATCTGTTAAGATTTGTTATGTTGCCTAGTATGTGGTCGATTTTAGAGAAGGTTCCATGTGGAGCAGAGAAGAGGGTATATTCTTTTGTTTGGATGGAGTGTTCTATAGATGTCTGTTAAACCCAATTGAGACATACCTTCCGGTAGTTCTTTTGTTTCTTTGTTAAATTTCTTTCTGGTGGTCCTGTCTAGTGGTGAGAGTGGGGTGTTGAAGTCTCCCACCATGAGTATGTGAGAACTTATGTGAGTTTTGAGTTTTAGTAGCGTTTCTTTTACAAATGTGGGTTCCTTTGAATTTGGGGCATAGATGTTCAGAATTGAGACTTTGTGCTGATGGATTTCTCCTGTGATGAATACAAAATGACCGTCTTCATCTCTTTTGAAAGATTTTGGTTTAAAGTCTAACTTGTTAGATATTAGGATAGCTACACCTGCTTGCTTCTTGGGGCCATTGGATTGGAAGATCTTTTCTCAACTCTTTACCCTGAAGTAATGCTTGTCTTTTTATTGTTAGGTGTTTTCTTGTATTGCTGTCTTCCCATTGCTTCTTCCAGTTGGTGCAGGTTGAGAGTCTCTCTCTCTCTCTCTCTCTCTCTCTCTCTCTCTCTCTCTCTCTCTCTCCACTGCTCTCCCGGTGGGCATAGGTGGGTCAGGAGTTGGATGTCTGTAGCTCTGGGTGGTCCAAGCTCTCTAGGAGGTCTCTCCTCTGGCAGGGGCCTCCAACAGAGGCCCGGGTATGGGGGCAAAAGTTTAAAATTTTAAATTTAGTTAAGAAATCCTCCTATATTTATCTTTTAGAAACCTTTGTAAAATACAAAAAATTAATAAAAAATAGAAAAACATTGCACACTAAAAAATAAATAAAACATCAATTTGTAGCCAAAAATGAAAAAATAAAGAATGAAACCTATGTCATTTTCCTGTATATGAGATGGAAATGTGTCGGGGACCATCACCATCCTCCAACCTCAGGTTTCTGAGATAGAAAATTACTGCCTCCTAAGAAATAAACAGGATGTTCAACAGAACATTCAAGGTACAGGCTTGCGATTTCACAGCCAGCTAAAGAATAGCTCAGGGCTATCTCTCCTGCTGCAATTTACAGCCAATTACAGGTTAGCTAAACAACTTAGGGTATTCCTTCTACTGACCTTCTCATTCTGCCTACGTGCCAGTGCTCAAGCCCTGGTTATGTACAAACCCTTGCTCACATCCTGCCTATGGTCCTATATAAGCCTCCCCTGAAGAAAATAAAATTTGTCCGCTTGATCAGAATACTGTCTTGCTGTCCATTCTTTGTATCCCTTGTCCCCCATTTTCTTCTAGGTGTTCCCCGGTTCTTTGTTGACTGCCTCGTGGGTTGGGGCAGAAATGTAGAATTCAGTACATTTTCATGATGTAGCAATAAAAGGTTCATTGTTTATGTCTATTTGCACCATTCATCCTGAAGCCAACTCACCATTTTTGACACCCACTAAGGGTCTTTAGAATCATGGTCACTGTCTGGAAGAACAGTTGAGAAGGGCTAACTTAGAATGATAACATTTGTATAAAAACACAATGGAGAACAGGGAGGTGAGTGGAACACTATTGAAATTACCTTATTATGTCTCAATTAGAAGATTACACTTCACCTGACCTTAAGTTTAATTTAGTGGATTCTGTACTTGATTATAAAGGAACATAAGGGTAGACAAAATATTAGACATCTGTGAATTATAGCTAAAAGAAATGGGAAATATTGCTTACATTTGAAGAATGGAACAGTGATCTATTGTTATCGTGAGAACTGTGTAAAGAAAACAATCCTCCCTTCCCTGTTTTTTCCTGGTTCTGAAGATCAGAGTCAGGTCCTTCCACACTGAGCCAGCATTGTCCAAGCTGCAGGCCGTCCTGGAGTACCTATTTTTAAAGTACACCGTGACTTTGATTACAAACAAAGCAGCTTGTAAGAATTAACACTACCGTTCTTGATGTCTATAGATGGGATAGCTGCAGTCAGCAAAGACAGATGTGTCAAGGCAGGCCAAAGCTTGCACCATTACACTCAACAACTATTGCTACTTCCTGGTCCTGACATTCCCTCTCCACATGAATCTTACTTACTTCCTTTAAATGAATCCCATCCTTTACTTTATTTTCCTCAAGTCATGATGTAGTTCCTTCTTTCCCTTAGGAATTAGGCAGGCTTGATAGCAGTGATAGAAATTTTACACTAAATGAAGCTAGCAGTGCCAAATGCACACACCCTAATAATTACAGTCATAAAGAACAGCAAGCCAGTACTTTTTAAGAAGAGAAGACTTGGTTTTTCCATTTTATAAAGCAGAAACGATTTTTACACATTTTCCATTGAGAAATGTGTATGGGTATGCAGATGGCCTTAAAATTCAACTGAGTTCACCAAAGCAGCCTTGTTAGTCAGAAAAGAGCTGAACAGTGCTGAAAACTCTCCCCGCCTTCTCTAATATGCACTCATCCCCCTAGTGGCCAAAATCAGAAATGCAGCTCTATTTTCCTGGTTTATACCCAAGATATAATTAAGTTTCTGCTTCATATTTAATCTACACAATAATAGATCTATGAGAAGACCACTAGCTTTAAACAAAGAGTTATCTACATGAAGATCCAATAGAAAATCAGTGCAGTGATTATATACAGTAATTTAAGAAGTTCTTATGGTAGTAGCTGAAACCTAACACATTAGTTTTAAAGTATCAGAACTGAAGAATGGTAATGTCAGAAGGAAAAGAAAGTTTAACTTGCAATAGCTTGCCTTCCGCTGAGATGGAACTGCTAAGATAGTGAGCCCCTGCCCCAGCTGCCAAAGCTTCAGTAGAACAGACAGAGCATTTTGTGTAGCCAGGTTGTGCCCACTCTGGTGAGTGTAGCTCCAGGGCTAGGTGGGTTTTTTTCTTGAACGGCCATGTTCCCAAGATAATACTTCATGAGATCCATCATCTGATTATAAAACCCTGAACGACTTTGTTATATGTTTTTAGCACCACGTAAAATTTTCTGTAACTCAAAGTGAGGTGAAATGAGAATCCAAAACCTGTTGGCAATTGCACAACATTTTGTCCCGACAGCAAATTTCTCACTAGTGTGTCTGTAGCTTACTTTTCACAGAGGGTACTTGGAGACAGTTGAAATTTACTCCATGTAACAGATAAGGAGATAGTATGTGGCATAAATATGGCATCATGCAATCAAACTGCATGCCAGCATCAATAGCAGAGTACTTGAAGAGTGTCAGCTTTTGGAATATGAATACCATGAATAGGCAGAAACTATTTTTTGCCTGCTATATGTATGCACATAGTTTAAATGTTATTTAGAGTTTGGACCATTGATTTAGATCTGCAAAATAGATTGTCTGTTGTTTGAGCTTTTCAGACAAATATCTCATTAAAGGAAGTAAAATATCAAATTATTTTGTTTATTGACAAGTGCTTTATAAGTTCAACAACTATGGCCATATATCTCATTTTCTAATATAGAAACAGGGTTCTTTTCCATTTCATTTTAGCTCTTTAGTAGTTAGATCTTTAAATGGCTATTTTTGTATTTTTATTGTCTTTTAGTATTTTTACAAGTGTGTAGTTTGGAAGTCACTGAAAATTCTTTAAAAAATATTATCTATAACTTTCTTTTCATTTATTAGAAACAAAAAAGTACTTATATTTCCCACTAAATAAACAAAATAGTCACACACTTTTAAAACACTATTTGTATTTTAATAATAAAATATATAACATGGACATAAAATATAAATGCATAGAAATGAAACAGATTATTAAGTATACCAGTTACATGGAACAGCATTTAGTTAATAAATAACAGATTCGATCTAAAATACTTCTTAGTTTGATAGTACCAAATGGAATTATTTAAGATATAAGGGAATAGACACAATAATATATCCATTCTTGTCGTTCATTCAGGGGCATTACATGTTGACAAACCTGCATGTAAAAATAGAAAGCTTTTATTTCTATTTGATAAATTGTTATTTGCTAATTTTCAATAGGGCATTTCTAGGTCTAATATAATAAAAAGTATCTGTGAAGCTAAGTGTAGTGGAGTACACCTTTAATTCAAGCATTCAAGAAGCAGAAACAGGCAGATATCTGTGAGTTCAAGGACAATCTGGTATACACAAGATTAAGAATAGCCAGGACCTCTGTCTCAAAAGAGAAGAAAAAAATCCAGGTCAGTGGCATGTACCATATGTCATGAGTGTGCATGAATGCAAGTACTTGGGAGGATTGAGCAGGAGGATTGTTTAATTGTACAAGATCTGGACTAGCCTTGGCAACATGAAGTATGTAATTAGTAAAAGGGTGAGAATTACAGTTAAAAAAAGAGAGGTGTGATAGTACACTACCTTCTGGAGTAACCTCAGGAGGCTAAGGCTAGAGGATCCAAAGTTTAAGGACTCAGTCTCAAAACACCAAAAGGGTAGGGGAGTGGGGGAGGGCAGGGGGGAAGAAGTCTGCTGATCATTCTTGCCTTTCAATTTGTGACCTCATCAGAAATGCAGTCTGCTAAAACCAAAATTATTCAGCTATTTACGGCTCTTGACTTAGTTGCTTTCCTAAGACCTGGAGATGTTTCTTCTCCCAGGTAATCTTGGACAATCTTAATAGTATGGATAAGCATATTTGGGATTATTAAAGTAACTACTAGTAGTTGTATTATTTGGCATTTCTCCATACGATATTCAAAAGTGCTTTCACATATATGATTTAATTTTATTTTTACATTAATCCTGTGAAGGGCCTAACTAATCTAGTGATATTATTTTAATTACCCTTAAACAGGAACAGAGTTTGTGAGATGGCTCAGCTGATAAAAGTGCCCACCCCCAGATGGATTCCAGAACACACATGGTGGAAGGAGACAATCAACTCTCTAGTAAGTGTCCTTTGACTTTGACATGTATTTTGTGGCATGAGCATGCACACAGTGTACCACAACAGAGACGTTAAATGAATATCCCACAGTCACTCAGGATTGAATGAAAAGCAAAGCCCCTGCCAGTCATGGTGGCTTATAATCCTAGCACATGGGAGATGGAGGGCTGGGGATCAGAACAAGGTGAATTTGAGGCCAGCTTGAATTCCATGAGAAAATAATCCAAAACAAACTAACAAAAATCCCACTAACTCTCCTGTACAAGAGACAGGGCATTGAGTACTATGAATGTCACACTTAAATAACTTCCAACTTCATTTCATGCCACAAGCTTACTCATAGCATTATCAGTAAATAATTCTTTTCAAAAAGGTTTGAGGGTAATGTTTACCATTGTAGATCTTGGTGCCACTTCTACTGCAAAGATGTTGAGTCCTCTGTTGTTGACACAGTTTTTACTTAGTTCATTGTTGATGTGAATAATCACTTTGTCATCTGACTGTAGAAAATTATAAGTCTTTAGTTTTGAAAAATAAATAATGGTATAAACCTCAATAAGACCAGAAAATCTGTTTATAGAATTCAGTCCACTACAAATTAATACAAACCAGATGCCTCTTTGTGCTTAGTGCTATGGGTTTCCTCCTTCTTTTTTAAATGGCCACCAATAACATAAGCTTTTCTTTCAGATGGGGTTTGGATTTTCCCTTCATTCTTCACTCCCAGACCACTGTGGACTGTAACATTAAGTTGGCTCATCCTTGTCTTATTAAAGCCATAATATCTTTCTTTTCTTTCATCTCTATTTTTTTATCATCCATTCACTCAGATCCTACCTTCCAACTAATATGCCTGAAACATCCATTTAATTGGGTTCCTCTTTTACTCACTGACTCAATAAGTATGTGTGTATTTAATATTAACTGCATGTCAGGCACTGTTTTAGATCCTAGAAAGAATAATCAAGGTAGCACATAGATCCAAATCCACTCTACCATTGTTTTTAGTAATTCATACTACCCCCTCTCTTTGTTTCTTCTACTGTTTGCCTTGCTTCTGAAGGTTGTCTCTCAGTGCATCTAAACCTTAGAAAAAGCTAAAATTCTACTCTACAGCCCTTTTCCCTTATCACACACTGTCCCCAAGTTCTATAGTCTATACCATTATAAGAAACACAAGTAGAATAAAGCTACTGTGCATGAAAACAGACTACACGACTTAATGTTTATCCTCTGATCTATCCAAGAGTATTAATTTTGTCTTTCTAAGTAGCTCATTAACTTGAAAGCATAGTGTTGTAGAATATTAGTTTAATATGTGCTACATCCATTTATTCTGTAGATTATGTGTTTAATGATGCAAAAACATGTTGCATTCTTTTATGTTGCATTTGTTTAACTGTGAAGCTGTGTTACTTTGCCTGCCTACAACACCTGACTGGTCTAATCAAGAGCTGAACAGCCAATAGCTAGGCAGGAGAGAGAAATAGGTGGCTCTGCCAGGCAGATAATAAACAGGAGGAGAAATCTAGGCTTGAGAAAAAATGAGAAGTAGAAGAGGACACCAGGAACCAGCCACCCAGCCACACAGTCAGCCACTGAGTAAGAAGGAAAGAAAGATATACAGAATAAAGAAAGGCAAAAAGCCCAGAGCAAAACATAGTTAAAGAGAAATGGGATATTTCAAGTTAGAAAAGGTGGCTAGCTAAGGTTGGGCACTCATAGGTAAGAATAAGTCTCTGTGTATTTACTTGGGAGCTAGTGGTGGGCTCCCAAAGACTTAAAAAAAAAAAAAAAGAACAGCAGAGACCATGTTTTATACTTTCTGGAGGTCCTATTATATAACAAACTAACAAGGATTCTGAAAATATAATACTTTATATAAACAAAATTGTATTTATGTAAATAATTTTGTATGCAGATTATACTGATTCTTCATTGATCTCCAAATTTTAATTTTAGATTTTAAAATAAAAACAATGGTCATGAGTCATAATATAAATATAATATAAATAATATAAAAGTGTCATGCCAAGTTTGATTTATAAATACTAAAAATAATAACTTCCATTATAAATATAAGTAGGATATAGCTGCAATGTGAAAAGGGAGATAACATTATTAGAAAACTTTATACCAAAATAAGGAAAATTACTTCATAATCAATACCTTATTTTCAATTATTGATGTTATCCAGGTATCATAATTGCAAGTATGCACGATTATATTTTCATAACCATCCATGACTTTAGCATCACTTCTATCAAGGACAGACTTGCAAATGGCCCTCTCAAGCTGCCCACTGCATGCCTCCATATGGACAGCTTTAATTCTTGGCTTGCATCTTTCTGCATAGACATTGATGACAAAAGGGCATGCCTGGATGCGAAAGCAAACAAAATCTTAGTTTAGCCTTCTGGTAGAATTTTAAATAAATAAACTTACTGTAAATGTTTACCATATCATTTAAGATTCATTTGACCAGCAAGATAGCTCAATGGGTAGAAGTGCTTGCCATTAAGCCTGATGCTGAGACACAAGCTAGAAAAGGATAATACTGTCCTAGGCAGGGGATGGCAAGAACTTAAGGAAGCCAAATATAAACTCTTTTGAACAAAAATCTGGTGAAGACAGTGATCCCATTTTTAGGAGTTCTACCACTCCAACTATTCATCAAAAACTTGTTTGTTTGGGCCATGTGAAATGGCTTGGTGGTTAAGAGCATTTGTTCTTCCAGAGAAACCAGAGTTTGACTCCAAGCAAACATGTTAGGCAGCTCACAACCACTTGTTACTCCAGATCTATGGGACCCAATCAATGCCTCTGACCTCTGTGGGCCCTGAATGTAAATGCACATATTTACACACACACACACACACACACACACACACACACACACACACACACATACAAAACTTTTTAAAAATGTTCTCCCATGTTGGTTGCCATAATAACTAATGTAGCCTAAAATCCAAGAGGACAACAAATCCAAATAAGTGAATTAAACAAGCCTTGGATTGTCTTTTGACAGAGTCTGCACCAAATCTCACACTTCTGGCTGAACCTGAATTAACATGACAGGTAAAAGTACTTCTGTTAATTAAAAGACACACTAAAAGGCTTCATGACACAAAGTCAGGGCATCATTGGGATTTAGTTTCTTGGTCACATCTGGAAAATGTGGGAGATATGGTTGCAGAAGATCTTTGAGTCACTTCTTATAACAGTGTCTTGTATTTTAGAGGTTGTTAGTGTGGCTGCTGTTTTGCCTTTTGTTTTTCGAGACAATGTCTTACAATGTATTTCAGGATGTTCTCAGTTTGCTATGCAGCCCAGGTTGGCCTCAAACTCAACACCTCCTGCATCAGCTTCCCAGGTGCTAAGATTTCAGACATATACAACCATGCCATGCAGTCTTGGAGACCTTTAAAACCTTGTCCAGAGTTTTAAAATTGATTCCCAGTAGCTATTTTTCTGACAGATGACTTAATAGTATTTGCAGATAAAAACAGGATAAAATCATAATCAGTACATAAACTGAAATCAAATCTCCACAGATAAACTTCTTTAAAGAGTATCCATTAGATGGGTAAAACTTCAACTGAATATAAGTCAAAGAGGAAACAACTTTTAAAATTCTCATAAACTTTAGAAAAAGTGACTATTCTGTTGTCAGATGTTTAATGGCATGCATCATTACTAAACTTAAACTTGGTTCAATTCATTTGAAAATGAAAATGGGCTGGGAATTTTGCTCAGTGGTGGAAAATTTGCCTAACACACTTGAGATCCTGTGTTCAAACCCAGCATTTAAAAAGGAAGGAAGGAAGGAAGGAAGGAAGGAAGGAAGGAAGGAAGGAAGGAAGGAAGGGAGACAGAGAGGAAGAAAACCATACCCATCGCAACTCAATTTTGTAGAGCAACCAGCACTCATCTTTCAAGGTCAGACAATGAGAAACATTATTCACACACACAGGTTGACCACTGAGTGCCAACTAATCAACACAATTAAGAATTTCCCACATACATGGTTCTCCAAAGATTGTCAAGCATTTATGGTTTAATATTTAGGGAACTCCTTAACATCATGCCCCCCCCAAAAACATAAAGTAAATACAAGTAAGAATGATGATCTCTCTTGTGAGCAACAAATCATGATGTCTTTTTTATTTTAGTTATAATGCTAGTGTCATCTGGGTTCATGAGGTCTGTCACCTTGACACAAGCCCTAGGTTTATCTTAGAAGAGGAAATGTCAAGTGAGAAAATGCGTCCATCAGACTGGCCTGTGGGCAAGTCTGTGGGGCATTTTCTTGAGTAATGATTAATGGGGCAGGGTCAATTCCATAGTGGGTGGTGCCATCCCTTGGCAGGGGGCCCTGTATTCTATAAGGGAGCAGGACAGAGAAAGGAATGCCTCCATGGCTTCTGGTTCAGCTGCTGCCCTGACTGCCCTTCATGGCCTAGACTTGTAAACTGAAATAAGCCCTTTCCTCTCCAAATTTCTTTTCATCTTGGTTTTTGTCCCAGCAATAGAAAGCAAACTAACACACCTTTTAACATTTTTGCCGTATGCAAATTTTTCCTGTTTGATTTTATTATTTTTGTTTTGTTTTGTTTTTTGCACATTGCATGATAGTTTGAGGCTAGCCTAGGCTACATCATTCTTATTTGTATTTATTTATACTCTGAGGATTAAGAAAAATCACTTGAGTAAGATGTTCAATCACAAGGACAAGCCAAACATGGCAAAAACATGTTTCTCCATAGAGGCATATAAATAAATAATAGCCAGCTATAATGAATAAACTGAAGTAAGCTCACTCATCCGCTACACTTGGGAGAGGCATGAAAACACATTCCAAGAATAATTCCCTGTTTTTGAAGAAACTGAAGTCTCGAGACTATTGTCTTGTTTTCTTGGAGTTTCCTCACAAACACTCGGAATTCTCCTCACATGACTTCATTCTTGGACCTTGTTCCAACAAAAATATATACATTTGAATTACTAATTTCCCTCTGCACATCAAAAAGTTCAAACTTTTTGTCTCTAATAAATCATATGTAGTTGACAGTAACTACAGTTTTTAGTAAAGAACACAAGCTTCATTAAAATACTGGAAACACACCTATGTGCCCAGGATTCATCTTACACTACTGCAAATCAAGGATTTGAGTGCCTGGATTTAACAGTCATCTGTCAGGAGAGTGTTCAAGGTCAAATACCATGAAAAACAAAGCCACTGTCAACATTAGAGTGCTTTACCTCTGTCAGCTGCAGAGCCTTATTGTAGCCCATCGAATGTAGAGTCACCCACAGGTCAAGAGGATCTCCTTCTCGATCATTGGCCTCCATCAGATGCAAGTCCATAAACCCCTGTCTTGTCAACTCATTCTTCTTTGTGTCAAAGTTTTCTGTAAAAACAAACATTTCTTACATATTATTAAAAGTCCACGCATTTAATAAAACATCTACATTAGTCATAAATGTTCAGTTGTAAGCAATAACATGAGGAATAAGAATCCCTCAAACCTGCTTCCTTTTCTAATTTCCCACAATTCAACACAGGCACCATCATAAGACATGATTCCCCTCCCCCCAAGATATTGGCAAGTTGTAACTAACTAGTGCAAGTATATTCCAATAAAGTTAGAGGAACTGCAATTTTTCTGGGTAAATTCCAACCTGACCACTCATGAAGAGTTTATATTGATATTTAAAACAAATTAACATTTCATAATGCACCTGAGACCAACCAGAACATGAATGAACTTTATATAATATACCCCAGACTACTAGCGTTTTTGGAAGGGAGAAATGATGGGGTCAGGCTTAAGGAGACTACTACACGTATAGTTTCTCTAACAAATTGTTGGTAGGTCTGTGAAAACCTGTTAGATAATGAAAAACTGCATTTCCCAAGGGAAGTCTAAATATGCCCATTCAACATTATATGTGAGTAAAAAATACCACTATAGAACATATATATGTATGTATGTATGTATATATAATATGTATGTATGTATGTCTAATAGCTATCTGTCCACCTATATGTTATATTATGATTGCCCTGAAATGAATCTATAGATAATAAATATCTCTAATGGACTTATATTTTGACAACTTTCTACAACAAGATTTTACTTCCCAACTCCCATCTGTATTATACTCAAGGGAAATGAGACAGCATCTCTTTCCTATGCATTACTATGAGAAAAAACAAAATACACACCTGATTGACTAGTATTTTAAAATGTTTTATAAGTAAAATAGATTCATAGGGGTTTTTTTTTCAAGGAAAAATATGCAAATTAAGTCAGGGAAAGTAATGATAGTAATGTACTACTATTTAGTAAAGTAAGATAAAAATTAATATTTGATATGTAATACAAAGAAAGTATTAAAGAAAAATGTGTTTTTAATACTATACTATGTGGACCAGCAATAACTTAATGACCTTTAAAACTTAAAATTCTTAATCTTTATTAATTTTTAAAATTTATTAAAGGGCTGGGTATAAAGTTCAGTGGTTAAAGCAATTCTCCAGCAGACCCAGCCCTGGATTTAACCCTTACAATACCAAAAGAAAGCAGATCCTAATATTTCCCTCTGACTCGAAGATTTACATAAAGCTATGATAATCAAGAGTGGTATTAGTGAGGTAAGTGAAAAATAGTTCGATGCAACAGAATATATCCATACAACTGATAAGTAACAAAGGGGGAAAGCAACACAATAAGTACACAGTTGTAAGACTCCTGGATATTCATATCCAGGAATAAATCAATGTAAGCACAGACCTTCAACCTTTCACAGAGTAACTTCAAGTGAACCACAGATGAAACTGCACAACACAAAACAAAATTTCTACAAGATAACAGGAGAAAATCTAGGCAGACTTGTGTTTGGTGATGAAGTTTTTAGATACAATTTAAGCATACAAACCAAGCTAGTGTGGTGAAACATGCCCATAATTCACGAATTTGGAGGATAGAGGCAGAAGAAGTGGGAGTTCAAGGCCACCCAGGGCTACAAGAGACCATGCCTTAACAGATGATAACAACAGCAAAAAAATCATGTCCTAGCTTATTTCCCTGTAACTGTTATAGACACCATGACCGAAAACAAGTTGGGGAGGAAAGGGTTTATTTCAGGTTATAGGTTACACTTCATCATAAAGGGAAGCCAGGGCAGGAGTTTGAGGCAGGAACCTAGAGACAGGTACTGCTGTTTACTAGCTTTCTTTCTGCTGCTGCTTATCCAGTTTCCCTATTTAGAACCCAGGACTACCTGCCCAGGAGTGGCACTACCCCCAGTGTGCTGGGCCTTCCTCCATCAATTAGTAACCAAGAAAATGTCCCACAGACATGCCCATAAGCCAGTGCAATAGAAGCAATTCCTGAGCTGAGCTTCCTTCCTCCCAGGTGTGTCAAGTTGACAACTAAGAAGAGCTAGGACAGCACACAAGACATGTCCTAAGGCAGAGAAAAATTTCTCAACAAATTATACTCTGTGAATGATATTGCTAGAAGAATAAAAATAGAAGCCGCTAGCTGGGAGGGAATACTTGCAAAAGATACATCTGATAAAAGATACATTCACAACACTTGGGAGGGCAGGGCCTGCACCTCACTGGGGTAACACAATAGAGCCAACACTGTTCGAGAATGTGTGGGTGAGCCAGCCCCAAAGTTGTAAGTGTGGGAGATCTGCCCCCACTACTTGTCTGTCATGCAGGGGTGTGGATGGGGGGAGGGCTGCCCCCATTTCTCCCCACCCCTTACTGCCTGTAACAGATGAGAGAGCTGGCCCTCCCCCTTACCAGCTGCAGCACTCAGGAAAGTGGCTCCTCACCTAGACAGCACAGCAGAGCTAGCCGGGTAGTTGGAGGTGAGGCTGACCCAGGCCAGAGGTTGTGATCAAAGAAGAGCTGACATGTGGCAACATGGCCAGAGAAGAGATGCCTTCTCCACTACTCCCACCCATCTGTCAATAGCTGAAACAGGTGGAGGATCTAGCCATGAGGTTGTAAGAGTGGGAGAGCTGTCCCTGCCCATCACCAGCTGCTGCACTCAGGAGAGTGGCCCTTGTACTTCTCAGGGATAACACAATAGAGCTGGCCCTGGTGGTGGAGGGTTAGGAGAGCAGACCAGGAAGATGTGAAAGCAGGATAACTGGCCCCACCCCTTGCTCATTGCTGCAAGAGGTGAATTAGCTGGGGCAGTGCTGGATAGAGAGTTCACCCTGGTGCTGAGGACATGGGAGAACTGGCAGGTGGACCAACCCTACACCAGGCCATATCCAGAACCAGGGTTATGACTTGGCCAGCCCCAACAACCACCCCATCTATGATCTGCTGGAGCACAAGAAGGAACCTGACCCACAGACCCAAAGCTACAGGATCTCCATGACACAGGGTAAAAACAGGATATCCAAGAAGAGGCCCAGCATTAATAGTGTAGTAGTAACCAGAGGCCTCGAACCAGACCCGTGAGTCTTTGCAATGAACACTTGCAAGTGGAGATACATGGACACAGGGGTTTACTGCATGACTCACTGTGTCACACTGCAGCGTCCATATTGAGATTTTTACCCCCCCCTTTTTCTTTTCACTTTCTTCTCTTAAATTTTATTGGGGAGGGGTGCAGGGACAGAGGGCAGATTCGAAAGGACAAGGAAATGAATGGAAATGCAAAAGACACATAGAATAAATAAAAAGAAAGAGAAAAAAGATACATATTTAAAACATAACAACCTCTTAGAACTCAGTCATTTTTTAAAAAGACTGTCATGCTTTATTGACCTTGGTCAAGCCTCTTAATCTCTTTCATTCTATGTCCTTATATGTAAAACCCGGGAATGTTGACACACTCCTGTAACCCCAGTACTATGAAGGCTGAGGCAGGAGGAGACTATAGCCCAAAGTCAGCCTGAGTACCACATAAAGTTTAAGGTAAGGCTTTGCTATGTAGGAAGACATTATCACAAAAACTAAGAGTTGGGTACCAACAGAGACATTGCCAAAGAAGTTACACTGAATGGGAGATTCACACAAAAATGCCAAATGTCAAATTTATACAAGAATGAAATCTAACTACATACCTATTTGAATGCCTAAAACCCCATAAAACCTCATAAAACAGCACTTCTTTCAAAGCTAACATTGCCTCAGCATACAGTCCAGGATTTCTCAAGCCGAAATGTAAACAAGTTGGGAGCTTGTTTGTATATAACCCTGCACACAAGTGTGTATAGCAGCTGTATTCACAATTGTCCAAAACTGAAAGTCATAAGATATTCTTCAACAGGGAAACAGAAAAATGCAAACTGTGACATGTGCACACAATAAAACACTATTCAGCAGTAAAGAAAAATGAACTATCAAACCATGAAAAGACATGAAGAAAACATATGCAATTCAGCTATACAATATTCTTTAAGAGGCAAAATTACACACAGTAAAAAGATCAGTTATTGCCCAAGGTTTGGGGAGATGAATACACAGGTGAACAGATGGGTGCAGGGGAGTTTTAGGGCACTGGAACAATTCTTTATGATACTGTGATAACTATATTTGTGAGATGAAACAGTTGTCAAAACCCATATAACTATACAGTGTAAGTGAACTTTATTAATAATAAATAATGTAGTAAGATGAACTCACAAATTATAATAAATGAACTACACTAACTGACATTGGTAATAATATGCAGATCTTGGAAATAAGATGAATCCGAGGAGTCTCCAGATCTTCCACTCATTTTTGTATAGATCTAAAACTGCTTTTAAAAAGCAAATCTATTAATAAACAAAATAAAAATAAAAGTGTTTTAAGTCCAAAAAAGGATGTTGAGATGATCTTATAGTTAAATAATATATTTTATCACCAATACGTATAAGTAAATATTGACTATGATGAAAAAGGTAAAGATTTAAGAACCTAAAAATTACGTACATCCTGCTGTATTATGACTGTCACTAAAGCAGATATGCCCCCCAAATAATTTCCATTGCAATAATTTTCAGAAACCTTTGATAGCAATAAGTTTGGAGTTCTGGAATCTGACTGTTTGGGTCTGGAGCCTAATTATGCAACTGTTATGCTTTATTGACCTTGGTCAAGCTTCTTGATCTCTTTCATTCTATGTCCTTATATGTAAAATGACAGCAATTCCGGGGCTACTTCAGAAAGCTAATATATAGATGCACTTAAATTAGCACCTGGTATATGGTGAGCTCTAAAAAAAGTTGATGTTAAATATCAACCCCACTAATTTAATTAAATAGAAACATTACTGACTAGTAATTTTTTTGCCATAAAAAATTTTAATTAGGAGCTAGGAAGATGGTCTAATAATAATAAACTGAGAAATGAAAAGCTGTGTCATTAAGGTACAATATAATTACATCTTATGATAAAGCTGTATTGTGTTATCAAACTTAATAGAAGTTTAATATTAAACAACAGCATATTTATAAAAGGAAATATGAGAAACCTTTATATTAGTATCCTATTTTTACCCTACTTGCTGTTTGGTTGCCTTGCTTACTTACTCTACAAACTTAACACCATCTTAAGAAACATACATTACTACTCCAATGATGGGTGTTCCTTCCTCTCCTGACTGCATTCTGGACTCTACACTTCCTGGTCTGTGGTATATAGCTGGCTATGTCTTTTAGGCTTTCCTTTTGACTTTTCAGCTTTTGGCTTAAACACACAAACCCTACACCCTACTCTAATCTCAGATGCTTTGTTAAGTGACAACTGACTCAACCTCATATCCAGTGATATTATGTTGTGGTGTCTTGGTTCTGTTATCTCTGTGGATAGAATTCCAAATGAAAACAAATTTTTTTTAAAAAATTAAATAATTTTTTTGTTAGTTTTTTTTGTCGCTGTTTCTTTTTCCTTTTCCTTTTTCTTTTTCTTTTTTCTTTTTTTTTTTTTTTTTGTTTTGTTTTGTTTGTTTGTTTGACAAGGTCTCTATATATAGCCTTTCTGTCCTGGAAGTCATTATGTAGACCAGGCTGGCCTCGAACTCACAGAGAGCCTCCTATCTCTGCCTCCCGAGTGCTGGGATTAAAGTGGGATTAAAGGCATATGCCAATAGGCCCAGCTAAGAATTCTTAACATGTATAAACATCTTTCTGGAAACCTCTTAGTTGTTTTTTGTTTGTTTGTTTGTTTTTAAGTGAAACTAATTATTAACTCTTTGTTGTTTTTTTTAGAACCAGTGTATGGCTTAGTGAAAAGTAGTTTCCTTTCTTTTAAAGGAGTTTGAATACAGCTACCCTGCATGGCTGGACAGAGTTTTGCCCAGAAGACATGGTTATTAAATGAAAATCTCAATGCCCAGTGTTAGACAATTCCTTATGAGTTATTGGTCAGGGAATTTCCAAGGGCCCCTAAAATAACATGGGCTATTGACATTTATGGTAGTTTGAATGAGAATGACCCCCAGAGGTTCATGTTTGAATATTTGGTCACCAATTGGTAGAACTATTAAGGAAGAATTAGGAAGTATGGCTTTGTTGGAGTAGCTATGTCATTGAGGGTTGGCTTTGTGATTTCAAAAGCCCATACCATCCCCAGCTCCCTATTCCCTGCCCCCTGCCTCATGCTTGTGGATTGAGATGTAAGTCCCAAGCTACTGCTATAGAGCCATGCCTACCTGCCTGCTGTCATGCTTACTGCCATGATGGCCATGGACTCTAACCTTCTGGAACCATGAGCCAAAAATTAAATGCTTTTTTGCCTTGGTCAAGGTATCTTACTACATCAATAGAAAAGTAACGAAGACACCATTGCCATTTGCTGTCTACCAAAACTAGATGGTAAGCGCTTATTTCTGAAGATACAACACATTTTGATTGCAGGACATAAAGAAATCAATTTGGAACTGACTTGGAAAATTGTTCCCTGCTGGCTAGTGATGGGGGAAGTCCCTCTGTATATATGTTTCTCTTATTGGTTGATGAATAAAGCATTGTCTGGCCAATGAGGCAGGAAGATAGATGGGACTAGGATGAGGAGAATTATGGGAAAGGTAGGTTGATTGAGCCTGCCAGAAAGAGTTGTGATGCTGCTGAAGGAGTAACAACATGGCCAGGGCCATGGGTAAGCCAAAGCCTTGTAGAAATACTTAGATTTCTTAGGCATGGGTTAATAACTAAGACAGAGATAGCCAATAAGAAGACCTAGTCATTGGCCAAGAGCTTTACAACTAATATAGCGTCTGTGTGTTTATTTGGAGCAAGGTGGTTGTGGGACCTGGAGGACAAGAACCTCCACAGCAGGCTAGCCTACATAGTGCCAGAAGGTACTATACAGGCTACTGGGGAAAAAAAAATCAATGGTCTTATCAAGTAGTGCCATTGCCAGGCAAGATATGTCACTGGTACAAAAGTGGCATGAATGTTATGGGAGTAACCAAATACTTTATGACCGGATTTGTGGCCTGCTCCACAGGAAGGAATTTACCCATTACTATAATCTTGTCAAAAGCCTTGGCTTGGAAGGTAAAGCCATAGAATCCAGCAAGGAATCTGTTTTGGTAAATGGGCATGTTGTTAAATGGCCTCCTGAATACTTGTATTTATACCCATATGTTACTGTTGTTCTTAACCTTGGCCAGAGAAGTTTATTCTATAATAGGAAGACTATACAGACTATATATACAGAGAGACTCATAACTGAGTAAAGTACTTAAGTGACCTCAGAGTACATCAGTGACTGTTGAGTACTCAGGGAACAACCCCACCCCATGGCCCAGGGAAAACGGTGGAAGAAGGGGCAGAAAGAGGGTAAGAACAAAGAGAGGGGGTGAATGCTGTCTTCTGGACACATGGCTCTTACACTCATGAATCCACTGAATCTCCTTACCTTTACAAGAGCAACCCAATAAGATTAGTAAATTAATACCCCAGCAGGCAATACTAAATGGACTCAGTGGGCAAAGAAGAGGAAGAAGGAAGAGGAAAAAGGGAGAGAAGTAGGAGGTAGAAAGGAATAGGTAGAAAAAGATAGGACATGAAGGTGGGAAGGAGACATGTTGGGAGTCTCTGGGGGTATAGATAGGATTGAGAAATGTTGTATTCAGGTATGAAATCGGCAAATAAATAATTTTAAAAGATTTTAAAAATATGTTTGCAAGCCCCCAAAAGCTGAAATAACCATGAAGTGATTAACATCTTTTAGCAAGTATAGCAACTATCACTATAAGGAAAATAAATGCTTATGTTAAAAAGGAGAGACTTACTTTTTTTTTAAGTTTATGTGTATGTGTGTATGTCTGCATGAGTTTATATACACAGATGCCTGTGAAGGCCAGGAAGGGGTACAGAATGCTGTGGAACTGGAGTTATGGGTGGCTTGGGAGCTCCTGATGTGAGTGCTGAGACCTAACCAGGGTCCTTGTCAAGAGCAATTATAACTACTCTGCCACCTCTCCAGTCCCATGCTATGGCTCCCCTTCCCCCAACTATCCTAAATGTTAAAATAACATCCCATGGAGAAGTCTGGTTTATTATTTATGAGAATTAAGGGATTCCATATATTTTTTCTATACATCCATTAGGAAAAAGAAAAGCACTTACCTCTGCAGACAGCCCAAGCATCCTCATCACACTTTTCACCACTTGTTCTCAACTCAAAAAAATTATATTCTTCAAGGCTAATGAGACCATTTCCATCTAAGTCAATTATCTCAAATATCTCTGATAAAGTTGACCTAAAGTTGTAAAAATAGAATTATTTATTATTTTTAAAACAAAAAGTCTGAAGATGGATATTTTAAAAATGTGTTTTGCCTGCATTTGTCTGTGCATCATGTGCATTCCTGGTGCCTGAAGAGGCCAGAAGAGGGTGCTGGATCCCCTGGGACTGAAGTTACAGAAGGGTGTGAACCACTATGTGGGTGGTAGGAATAGAACCCAGGTAGAAGAGCATCCAGTGTTCTTTATCACTGAGCAATCTCTCTAGTTCCTTAAGACAGTTTTTGAGACAAGTTTCAAAGGAAATAATATTAATAGCATTTAAGATTTTTTTCTGTGCTATATTATATCCACATACATTTTTATCTGTGTGTGGCCAAATCTCATTGTGAGTATCTAGGTCATAGGAGACCAACCTTAGATTTAGACTTCAGATGTTGACAGTTATTGAAATTAAGAGTGCATATATAACAGTACCTAACATTAAAGGCAATGTCTAGTGGAGAATTGCTGGTAGAGATGTACATGAAGTATGCCAAAGAGCACAGACCCTAGGAATTAATGACAATCCTATGCTTGTAAACACAAAATCACTCTTGGTTACTTAGTGAATTTAAAGTATATGTTATACACAACATACTTTTGGTATATGTATACACTGTGGAATAAGTAAATGAAGCTAAATAATACATCTATTATCTTACATATTTAGTTTTTATGGAGAGAACACTTAAGATCTACTCTTGTAGCAATTTTCAAATATATTTCTAGTAAATATAATAAATTGCTATTAGCTAGTGTAGTCACCATATTACATGATGGATAACTGAATTTATTCTTCCTGACTAATGGAAATGTTCTATCTTCTAAACAATATTTCCCTCAGTTTCCTCATACCACCAACCCCTGGTAATCACCATTCCGCTCTCTGCTTCTATAAATTTCACTCTTTAGATCCCACATATAAGTGAAATCATGAGGTACTGGCTTTTTGTGCCTCTTTTATGTTTTTAATGGCATTGCTCATCATGCTGTGGTAAGATACTGAGTTAAAGCAGGAAGATGGGGTGGGATCTGACCACAGAAAATGGGCAGAAACAGGTGACTGATAAACAAAACTTACCTAAACTCACTCGTAAGAAATAATTCCCCTGTTTCATCTCTAAATACAAGTTGGGCTTCTTCTGTTACTGATTTTATTTCTTTTTTTAGCCTACAGCCAGTTGTGGAAGGAATTAACCAATAAATTCCTGGTCCTAGTTCCCCAGTCCATCCAAATACCTTTTATCAAAAGAATTAAACAAAATCAACATCCAGAAGTCTTCATGAATTTAAATCTTTTTTCTGAAATGGAAACTTGAGACAACATTTGTTTCAAATCAACATTTATCAATTTAGTTATAGTTTATTAATCTTTCACTAGTTTTAAATTCTTTTTCTTAGGGTAGTCTTAGTACAAGACCACAGACTATGGTTCTTTATGTTTTCAAAAAGACCTAAAAGGAAAAGAAGAGAAAAAGCTACATATCATCTAAGTCATCCCCAAAGGCCTTCAAGAATGTTTGTGACACAAATGCCTTCAGCAGGAAGCAGGGAGTAATTTTAGGACTTTTTAATGCAAACACTGTGCTCCTTAAAGAAAAGTAGTAAATATCTCCTACTGCTATGATTGAAAAATGAACATTTGATTTATAAATAACATTTCAATGACATCAGAGAAAGTTAAATGTATTTTAAGTTCATCATTTACATGAATTAAACATATTTCTAAAAGCTGAATTATGTGGATTATAATGTTACCCTCCTTTCTGCTTGTGTTAATTTTTTATTTTTTGAGCCCGGAACCAATGCATTTTTTCAGACAGTCTCACTGTATAATTTATATTGGCCTTGAATGTGTTATGAAGCCCAGGTTGGTCTTGAATTTGTATACCTCCTGCTTCTGACTCCCCAGAACTTCAGTGCAGGGTAATCATACTCAATACAATACATCTTTGCATCTGTAAGTTTGGCTCTTTAAGTCTATCTTTTTCCTCTCTCCTCTCTCTCCCTCTCTCTCTCTCTGTGTTGTGTGCATGTGTGTAAGGTACTGATCTTTGTGGGAATATATATATATATTCATATTCATATATATATATATATATATATATATATTCTTTTAGGTAGATTGTTAAGATTACTAGGTGACATGGATGATAAAACAAGATGGTAGAGTCCTAGACAGACCTGATTATCTGAAACTGTTTCCTAACAAATGTTGGATATTTACAGTGAATATCAAGATGTGTATAGGAAAACATTTTATTTGCCTGTTCTACAGTGAAAGTAAATGGCATCTCTCTATGTACCTCCTAGGAGCTTTCTGGAGCCTAAACATTTCTTGTAAAAAAAAAAAAATAGCAAACAAACAACAAAAAAAAAAGGACCATCTTTTGACTATCCTAACTGTATATATCCAATCATTGCATATGATAGCTAAGTACAGTTACTTGTGCTACAGTACAGATCTTGTCTGTACCAAATTCCATCAGGTATTGTGTTCAAATAGTCTTGTCAAAACCTATTTTAGGTCATCCTGGAGGTTCATAAACCATAAGTTGGTCATCTGAGTTCTGAATTCTTTCTGCCTGATTATCTGTGGACCATAATCACCCTGAGGTTATCACCAAGCCATATTTTGGCAGAAGAAATAATTCAATGTAACTGAGGACCATTGAGGAGGCTAAACTGACGAATTCATGCTTTGGAAATGATAATTGTTTAGACTGACCATATGTAGGTTGACATATAGGAGTTAAAAAAAAATATCTTGCTACTTCCTAGTAGAAGTCATCCCATGAACTTCCTTTATTACCTACATATAACTGTAAAGTGCCACTATAGATAGCAACTGGGAAGTTCTTCATGGGTACCAAACTCTTCTTAAGGAAAATAATTGTGAAGCTAAAAACACTAGTAAAAATCCTTTGTAAATATGACACATTACAGATAAATAGAAGCCTATAAAGAGGTCCATAGAAACTCCATTTAAACACACTCTTGCTATGACTGACTGTTTTTACACATGCAATTTCATAAGAAAGTCATTTTATCCAAAACCAAATGGGAAAACCTATTGTTTCTGACACTGCTTTATCTTTAGCTTCACCTGGTAGTCAGCTCTGAAGAACAGCTTAGTAAAAATGTTAAGTTCTGCCATTTTCTGTGGTTCTAGCCAGTAACTACCCTTGTCTGTTAGGAAGCCTCCAATAAAGACTTCTATATAACATCCCATCAGGGAAATATTTGTCTGTCATTGAGCCAATATAAAGATTAAATATGATATTGCAGAATAGTATTATTTCTGTTGCTGTGTAGCAGACTGTATTTTGTAGTCCTCATAAAATAGTCACATGTATGTATCTGCTCACATATTTGGCCTCTGAGTAAATACATAATTAGAAAGGGCCAGAAGAACCTCAAAGGCAATGTATAAAAGCATTTAAAAGCATTTCTTTCCATCAAACTATTTCTGAACCCTACAATATGAGTCAAGCCTGAAGTCAGTAATTTGGGAGAGTTCCTGTTTTGTAGTCATAGTACAAGTAAAGACAGACATCAGAAGCAAATTTTCCTGTAGCTGCAGTCATGCATTTGGAGGGTGGGAAGAATCTAATGACATCACTCTCTTTATTAAGTACAACAACAAAAAATATTTTCATGTCATACATCAGGGCACTTAGCTATGGAGCCAAGGCTGTCAATCAATCACTAAAAAAGTCTCAATACAAAAAAAGTTCTTTATAGTTAATAAAACATATAAAATAGCATATTGATTAGGTACAACCTATACTGCCACTAGAACAGAGAACATTTGAGTTTAAAATACTAGTAAAAAGCTATTATTTTCCTCAACTTGGTTTCATATTACATTTTTAAACAATAAAAAATATGTATACTTCTCTATTTCGTAGTTCAGTAAAACACATGAGCTGTGGCTCTGCTTGATCCTCATTTTCTTTAAGAATATATAAGGCCGTATCAACCGATAACCAGGGAGAATGTTTTCCTAAAAACAAACAACAACACCATCATCACAACCCACCTCAGATCAAGCAATCACTGTATTCTCTTTTAAGTTCTTTACCCAGTAGATTTTTAGAAAGAAATACACATTCCATTTTTATATACAGCCATTAAGGTATCTATAATATGCCACTACAATATTTAATTTTATGAAAAAGTCTCTCTACACTCAGTTTCTAAAAGGTGTGAATTTTCTTGAAATCATCAAAAGCTATGTTTTGATGTCTGGACATGGGGCCGTGCTTTTGCCTAGCATGCATGAGCCCCTCGGCTCAATCCCCAGTGTGCTCATCTTAACCAAAGCCAAAGCTGAGGTGCAAGATAAACCAGTCAACACATAAGTGAGAGCAGAGCCTTTCAGGAAGCGATGGGCTCCAGCACTGACCCTCACTCCCCACGAGGTCACAGGATGGAGAAACCATCTACACTCTCAGACAGTCAGGGTATCTACATGCTTAGGTGGGTTAGGTCACAAACTGTCCCCACTAAATTCCTCTGCTGAGACAAAGCCCAAAGTATGCTGCTCTGCCAGTAAGAAAAAGCAGATGAACTACAAAGACTTATCAGAACAGAGGCCACGTCACAACTTAGAAGCCTGAAAGGCATTTTCCCAAGGTGAGATGGGATACTGCAAGCCCTGGCTTTTCAGTGTTAGCACACACAGGAGGAGTTATGTCAGGAAAGAAAGAAGGAAAGGAGAGGATTTTCCAACAAGCAATGAAAGGCATAAATCCAACATTCTCTGAGAACCCCAAAGAGGATTAATGACAAACAGTGCACCAGCCACAAAAACAGAATCAATAGCAAGACTCAGTTAAATATTCAAACTGCTTGGAAAAAAAAAATAACCAAAAAAAAAAAAAAAAAAAATAGCCTTCCCTCCCCAAACTTCATTTCTCTCGGCAAAAAAAGTTCATTGTAGGGGAAATCTCTAACCGTTTATATTCTTGTTTCTTTATGGTCTTCATTCATTCCCTACCAACTTCTCCTTGCTTACTCATTCCAGATAGGCTAGCTTCCATTCTAAGAGTGATTTATTGTATGTGTATGCATGTCCGATTATATGAGTTTATATGTACCACATGTGTGCCGGAGCCTCTAGAGGTCAGAAGATGGTATTGGATTTCCTGGAATTGAACTTATAGTTGTGAGCTACCACTTGGATGCTGGGAACTGAAGCCTGGTCCTCTGCACTAGCAGTAAGTGCTCGTAGCTACTAGGCCCTGTCTCTAGCCCCTCAGCTCCTATTCTGTGCCACCACACTCCACATCACAGCTCCTTCCTCAGCAAATCATCTGGGATGCCCTCCACCTCCATGGCTCTTCATTCACCCTTCCACAGTGACAACGCTTACTCCCCTGCCTCCTGTGAGAGGGCAGAAAACACGGCTGCCCTCTCTGGATTCATAGACCTTTACGAAACAGTTAGACAGCTTCTTCATCAAGAGGTGACGTTTATCTTGCAGTCCGACTGGTTAAGACTTTGTGACTTACATATAACAGAGTGTAACAGAGTTAGCATTTTGTGAGTTCTGAGACCACCGATCTCAGGAAATTTCCTGTGCTTCTGCTTTTTTCTTTCTTCTCAGGTTCTGGTTACATACTGTACATTCTGGCTTACTGGAAGATGGAAGATCATGTGGAGCAGTCAGGCTGTCCTAGATGGGATAAGCCACATAGGAGAACACAGCCAACACCGAAAAACCAGCTATCGGCAAACCTGTCACTGATCCTAAGAGTGTGAGTGAACCCTGCACAGAAAAGCCATGCCTGCTCAGACTAAAAGAGCCATCTAGAAGTCCAACAGATTCACAAATGGACATATTTGTAACTATTTTAAGTCACTGAAGTTTGGGGCATTTTGATTTATAGCAGTTGATAACTGACATACTTTTAAAAACTTCTTTGATAATGTCTTTGGTCATATATATTTCATTTCTCTTCATTTTTCCTTTTATTTGTTACATGCTCGCGCGTGCGTGCATGTGTGCGTGCGTGCGTGCGTGTGTGTGTGTGTGTGTGTGTGTGTGTGTGTATGAATAACTATTCTTCTCTAAAGAAAAACAATCACAAAGCTTGCAAGAAAATGGATGTGGATGGACTTTGAATATGTAAGGTCACACAATCTCAGAAAGAAAAAGAAAACCTGCATACCTCCCTCACATGCAGAATCCAGGCAATAATATCTATATCTACATATATCCATATGAAGCTATATAGATAGAGGCAAATGGACATGTAGATACAATACAACATGTAGAAAAGGAAAGGCTAAATGTTAAGGCTTAGGAAGAATTGAATGGCTATTCTAACTATATAGAGATTTGCAGAGTTGAATAGTCTTCAGGTCTGAGAAATATTTTTAGCTGAAATATTTTCGTATAACTAAGTTTAAAATGAAAAAAAAATGCTTACTTCTAGATAAAATTTTACACATAAGATACCCTAAAGACTCTACCATAAAACTCTTAGATTTGGTAAATACTATCAGCAAAGTGGAAATATACAAAATTAACACAATGTCCAATAACAGTAACAATCAAGAAAACAACCAATTCACAATAGCCTCAAAACAACAATAAACCCTTAAAGTACACTTGACTAAGGAGACAAATGACCCCTACAATGAAAACTTTATTTTTTAATTAACTTTATTATTTTAAAAAACATTCAAATAAATAAAAAACATCTTTATAACTTTAAAACAGAAGAAACTGCAGATGATACCACAAGAGGGAGAGAACTCTCACGGTTTTTGACTGGAAGAATTTATAATATTGTGAAAATGGGTATTGTACCAAAATCAGTCTACAGACTCAAGGCAATGCCCTCCAGACTTCCAATGTCATTCTTTACAAAAACAAAAACAAAAACAAAAACAAAAAAAAAAAAAAACCATAATCTGAAGACTCTTACAGAAGCATAAAACGCTGAATAGCCAAAATTATCCAGAGTAAAAGAATACTTCCAACAAGGATCCAGACAAAGTGAAACCCTTAGAAAATGCTGGTGGGAGATGTCAACCAGGCCAGACACCATGGGAATCAATAAGGAGGGTTTTTATAGGGCTATTTGTACATCAATATATATAAGTAGCACTACATAAGTGTTCAGTGACAGAGGAACAGATAAGAAAGTGTGGTATAAGCCCACATGCAAACACACAGATGGAAACTTTTTTAGTGTCAAGAATAGCCAACTTAGATTGTCTGCAGGAAGATCAATACAATGGGGATAACCACAAGTGAATTACCATTTATTTTCTCTCAACTGTAATTCCAAGATTTTAATAAAGATATATTGTTAATGTGTATGTGTGTGTGATAGAGAAAAAGATTTGGGGGAGATCATATGGCATAGTGCATGTGTGGAGGTTACAGGCAATTCTATAGAGTCATTTCTCTCTTTCCACCTTTACATGGGATCCAAGAATTGAATGCAGGTCATCGGGCTTCTGTGACAAAAGTTCTTTACATGCTGAGCCAACTTGCCAACACAGGTTCCCAGATACATAAGAACCTGTATGTATATATGACATACATGTAAAGGTCAAACTGCTTAAGTTAACAAAAGGGACTAGGGAGAAATGAGAGGAAAGGAGAATTTATTCCATGTATAGTATCTCTGCACCAATATGTAGTCATGTAATGAAACATCATATGTGAAGAATAAACACTATGAAACAATTTAAACTAAACAAAACCATACAGCCCTTGGGCAGCTTATTTTTCTTAACTAGGATTTGAAATACAAAGTATTTTCAGAGAGAATATAAGTTGGTATTTTAAAAATAAAAATAGCTGAGTAAAGAAGCCTTTACTTCCAGGTGCTTTGTGAGTTGCATAATGAGTTCCAGAACAGCCAGAGCTACATATAAACAAACAAACAAACAAAAAACAAGGGAATAAATAAATAAATGAACAAGCAAATAAATATAGGTTTTAAACTTGCCTTCAGTTTGACTCAGATTTAATGGCTTAATTGTTAGATAAAGCACAGATCTTTGAGGTATATGCATCTTGTACTGATGACTAATGACTTCACCATCTTCTTCTAAAAAGAAACAGCCTTTTGATTGTACACACTGCCAGTCCTGAAACGAAAGAAAACATTTTCAAACAATATTTATAGAAGTGAGGAGAAACTGAGAGATGACTCTAAAGAAATACCAAATATGCCTATTGCCATCCTGCGGAATACAAACATAGGAGAAGAAGTGCATGCAGAAAATAAATCAATCATAATTGTCAGGTGTGTGTGTGTGTGTGTGTGTGTGTGTGTGTGTGTGTGTGTGTATGTCTGTGTGTGTGTGAGAGAGAGGGTTAGGTTGAAAAGAAAATTATATGTGTGAAATTACTATAATCCCACTTCCAAAAGTAGTGCTTGAATACTGTAGTTGTTCTATAAATTATGTCTGATTGATGGAAGGTAATGTTATAAACTGGATGGGTGTCAAAAATCTTTTTTATTTTATAATTTTAAAAGGATTCACTTTTTCTTAAATATGTGTGTTATGTGGGTTAATGCAAATGAGTACGGTGCCTGTGAAGAGAAAAAGAGGGTATCAGATGCCCAGGAGCTGGAGTTGCTAGCAGTTGTGAAGTCAGGCATGAGGTTTTGTACTTGTGGTATTGTGTCACTGTTTACAATTTGAAGGGGATGGGAGAATTTTAGATTTTGGATTTTTACATCAAGGAAGTTGATTCATTTTAGAGACAAAGAGGGTCTAAAGGCAATCTAGGATATCCATTTTGGTAGATAAGAAAGGTCTGAAAAACAACTTGGCAAGCATGATATCACATTTATCAGCGACTTCAGAAGCCTTTCTCTACATCTACAGTTGTATTTTGAGTTCTGCTCTACTTTGCATTTAAATATCTGCCATGACTACTGGGCATGATGGCTTTGCTTATAATTGCAGCACTTGGGAGGCAGAAACACCAAGTTTGAGGCCGCTTTGGGAAACACAGAATTCCAGGCCAGCCACGGCTACACGGTAAGACCCTTTCTCAAAAATAAAACACACCACCACCAACAACAACAACAACAAAAAACTACCATCATTTTTTAAAGTGAGCTTTAAATGAAGCTTCATGTTTATATTATAAATTGATAATATATAATATAAAACATATAGTAAATGATACAATGACAGAGCATTACCATTCTGAATTTCTTACACACTTAAGGGTTAGAACAAACTCAAGTGTTTCACTTAAGTGCAGCAGCTCTCCCTATTTTTGGAGTTGGTTCCCTCCTTCCACTAGGATCTAGGGATTGAACTCAAGTTGTTAAGCTTTTGACTGCTAAGCCTTCTCATCACCCTAAAGTAAATTACTTTCCTTAAATGCAGAATTGTTCAGAATATTAGTAACAAATGTGATTTGTGACATTTGGGAAACTAAAGAATTGTCCATGGCAGATAGTTCTTCTGGAGGCAGTGCCAAGGGCTGATAGAAAATGGCTTTAAAAATCTAGTTGAGAAGGTTAACATTTTTATTAGAGATCTTTCTCACTTTCCAGTTCTGGAAAAACCTGCTTTAATAAAAAAGAATTTGTAAGTATTTATGGAAGACTGCCAAACTCCATACTGTAATATTACACTCAGGTTAATAGGACTGGAAATAGCAGGGAATAGTAGGGCAAGTGCCACCAAAGAACATCAGTGAAGTGCTGTGAACAGTAAATAACAGTCTTAGGAAACCTTGGAGCAATACTGTTTAAAAGGAGACAGTGGTTTCTTAAGATACACAAACTTATTAAACACTTATTAACTTGAAACTTTATTTAAAACAAGACTCTATATCACTAAGGTTTTCATCATTTTGGGGGGGAAGGGGGTAATAGATCCAGACTAACACACTATGAATCAATGAATCCAGACTAATATGCTATGAATTAAAAGTGAAAAAATACTGAGAAACTGCATGATTGTTCAAACAAATGAATTTGAATGGAATACAGACCAGGTTGACAGCTTGAGTTTTATGATAAAATGGAAGTACACTGCATTTTTAAGTCTTTTTAGACTTTATATATATATATATATATATATGTCTAATATATATTTTTTGACAATTAAAACAGGTTGTAATTCTTAGAGCGGGCATGAGGTGGTGCTAGATTCTACCAATTCAAGTATATTCCTATAAATCCAAATAACTTAGTTCACTGGTGATACACAGTTTACTTATTTCATTCATAAGAAATAAGGAAACAGTAAAGGCACAAACTATAAATTTTAAAGTAGAAAAAAGTGACCAAAGCAAACATATCAGTGAAGTTGCATCTTTCCTGGGTCCCTCTGGCATACACTTGTCCTTACATATAATTCTACATTATTAGCAATCTAGCTGAGCAAGAGTTAGCAAGTGGACCTGCCACAGATGACAGCATGGTAGCTTGTCATCTTCATCATTCTTTACCAAGAAGTCTATGTCATTCTTCTAGGAAGCTATTTGCTTTCATTGTTTGAAGAAGTAGGCAAGGTGCATTATTACTTTTTTGTTACTAAAGAATACTTAAAAATAAAAGGTTAAGTAGATGATTTATGAAGGAAAACTGATATATACTGTCTTTTAAGTGATAAGTTAAATTGATTAACATTTTGAAAAAGAATTATAATTGGTGCTTTAACAAAACAAGACTGAACCATTTTCAATTTGTATTTTATATTTGTATATATAACTGTATTATGTATTTGTACTGTTTTGCAGAGAAACTTGTGTATAATATATTATATGATTTACATGTGCATGTCTTATGCACACATATAGCTTGATACTGTATATGTATACTAAATATGTGCTCTATGGTATGTGTCATATACATATTATATAAAACACATTTAGAAGACATTTAGGCAAGTCCCAGTTAGGAGTATGAATACAGGCGGGTTACAGCTCTGGAGCTTACCACTGATGACTTGTAGCCTACTCTAATTTCAGTAGTGACTGGCTCTATAGCAAGGAAGTTAAAGCTATTCTTCTCTCAAGGGAAAATTCTTGACATTTCTTGAATATTACATAAACTAACTAGATAGAAAGCAAGATTAAAAAGAGAATAGTAATACAGTGTCAAAGTATGACCAATAGAAAGTCATATATGTACAGTCACTGGAACATTCTTATTTTCCTCCTGTAACACAAGTCTTTTATAAAAGTGTGGAAACAGATATAAAATCCGGCTGCTGAGCATGGTGCCTGTACTCCAGCTACTCTAGGAGGCTAAAAGAAAATGACTGCTGGAGCCTGCGAGCTAGAGTCCAGCCTGGACAAACACAGCAAGGCCATGTCTAAAAGTGAATAAAAGCATAGACGAAAGGAAGAACGGGAGGAAGGGAGAGATGGCAGGCAGATGGGCAGACAGGGCAGGGGCAGCTCTGGCTAATATGCTTGCCCCGTGGCAACAATTTCACGTTTCTGATGCTGCTCACTTTTCATACAACCCACTAATCTCTGTTCCAGGCAAACTAAGGTGCCAATTGTCTTAAAGCAAGAAGATTAATTTAGCTGTCTCATTAGTAATTCATTCTGTATTTTTATAGCCAAGTACTAGAATGGCTCTAAAACTTCACAAGTGTATATGATATCTTCAAAAATGAAATTGCTTCAAAGTAAAACACCAACAATAAGAACTGATCCTTGCTGAGTAACAGAGAGCCTCAGATTAAAACTCGGGGGGCAGGAGGATCAAGAGTTCAATATCATCCCTGATTACACTGTAAATCTGCATCCAGCCTCAGGCAGGCTCTCAAAAGTCAAAATAACAGCAATTTTGGCTTACTTCGTCTAAGAAATACCAGGTAGCAAACAAAGAAGGCTAAGAAACGCAAGGCAAACATTTCCAAAAGAAATGAATATTGATATTAAAATTATGGGATTAAAAAGTTGACAACGGAAGGCTCTCAAGATGGCTCAGCAGGAAAAGGAACTTTCCACTAGCCTCATGCGCTCAGTTTAGTCCCTGGAATCCACATGGTGGAAAGAGGGAACCACTCCTAACAGTTGTCTTTTGACCCCCACATGCACTCTGGTGCACACACACACACACACACACACACACACACACACACACACACACAATAAATAAATGTGAACAATTTTTTTTAAGTTGACAATATACCAACCTCTTTTAGTAATTAAATCGTTAGTACTTTTAAAATCTAATTTTCAGTCATCACCAATACTCCTTCTTGATGTCTAAATGAAAAATGTAAGTGGACTCTTTTTTATAGCCACTATGACCTTCAGACTAATCCTGGGATTGTCTATTAGACCCTCCTGTTCCTAGTATACTCAAGAACTGCCATAAGTCAAGCTAGCATCACTACAAACACACACAACTCAGCCTCTTGGGTAAGTCCTTTCTCCCATCTCCATTCAAAATCCAATACTAGAATAACTGTCCTTAGATGAGACTTTCATTTCATTTTCATATAAAGAGCTACAGTCTTGTCTCAGTTCTGTAATGCTCTTTTTTTTTTTTTTTTTTATAAGTGACTATGTCCTTAGTGCTGTGCTAAATGCTTTGAAAAAGATTTAGGCTATGTGAGGGTAGCGAACGCCTTTAATCCCAGTATTCAGGAGGTAGAGACAGGTGGATTTCTGAGTTCGAGGTCAGCCTGATCTACAGAGTGAGCTCCAGAACAGTCAGAGCTACACAGAGAAATGCTGTCTTGAAAAACAAACAACAAAAAGAGGGAAACAATCAAAATAAACAAAAAGAGATTTAGATCTTTTAAAATACATTAAATAAAATTATTTTCAATACACAGTTAAGGAAAATCATACTCAAAAGAGAGGTTGTTAAACTTGCCCAGTTTATACAATCATTAAGGGAATAGCTAGAATTCACTCTCAGGTGTATTTTTCTGAGTTCTTTATCAATTCCAAAACTCTTTTCGCAGAGTGTCCAATCAATAAAGTTTATTTATTTATTTTCCTTTTTTTTACTTAAATCAGAAACAATCTTATTTTATATATCAATCCCAATCCCCTCTCCCATCCTCCCATGCCCCCAATAAAAATTTATTATAACAACAAAATACTATGCTATGCTACCTTGGCATATGACAGCCAATAATCAAATGGAAATTTCTTCAATTCAAGATCCTTATTTTACACTAAGCGGAACAATTGACACATTACATGATTAGAAATTATTTGCTGGACAGAACTAAAGGAATTGTATTAATGGCACGGTAGGAAAATCATATGATTTAGTACAATCTATAAATATTTATATCTCTACATGATAACTAAAATTAGTTTAAACACTTTTGACTTAGGTAAATCATAATTAACCAGGCTAGTACCTTAACAGTTAACTTAATTAAAAAGTGCAAAAAGCTTCTATTGGAGAAAAAATAATATTGTTGGAACACAAAATATGTGTGAACAAACTGGACATGCACACCAAATTGCTTAGGGTGTGTACATTCCTGAACAGTCAGAGCAAAATTCCTTAGAGATGATGTTTTAAAATTTTAATATAGAACAAATGTCACTGTCTAGCAATTTGAAGATATAAGGGACTTCAGAGTTCAATAACAAATACAGAGTTGTTATTTGAAACAAGAATGCAGCTCTGGAGGACAATCAGTTCAGTTCTCTAGCAGCGGTTATAGTGTGTGGTCATAACCATTTTCCCCCTTTTACAGAGGTCTCCAGGTGCACATTTTTAATGTATCCTAGCAGTTTCCAGTTAATGTTTTATATTTCTGTAGCTATTATTTTCTGCTGAAAGAAAACTAGTAAAAGTTGAGTCTAAAAAGGGAAAACAAAGGAAGAAGATCAATATTAACACTCAACAAATATTGACTTAGCAAAGTGACTTTGTGGTCTTTCTCTCATAGGAATTGATGTTGAATGAATGATTTATTTACACAACACCTCAGGAAAGTACCTGTCAAACAACAAAATCTTATTTGCCAAGGTATTTAGATAATCAATCTATTCATCAAGTTCAAAAATTGAAGAGTCACCATTTCCAAACTAAAGACCTTATACATAATAATACTTGTGCTCATTCTTTTTACTTTAAAATATCATAGCCAAGGTCAGCAAGATAGCTCAGCAGACAAAGGTGTCACAGCCAAAGCACACAACTCAAATTCCATCCTGGACCCCACCCAGCGAAAGGAAAGAGCCGACTCGCACACATTGCCTTCTGACTTCCACATGTGTACCATGGTAAGCCCATGCTGCCCCTACCCCACGTAAATAAACAAAATCTAATTTACTAATTCTATGGAAAAACCCAGATTAGTCACAAACTCCATTGGTTCCCTGTAAACATTCAATAATTTGTAATAATCTTAAAGTCAAATACTTCTCAGAAAAAGTTGTAACTGTTCATTTAAAGTACTGTACCTTTAGGTTTGGCTCTGTTAACTTTGAGTCTCTGTTCCTATTAGCACTCATGGTAATTGTGAAGGAAACAGATGTTTTGAACTTTCCAGTTGCTGACAGTAAGGAATGGCTTGAGTCACCTGTAAAAAGTAACAGTTATTTGGTCTTACATATTAAAAGCCGTCAGCAGCAGTTAATTTCTAAACAGTGACATACAGTCTATTGCATTAATTTCACTCTCTTCATTTTTCCTATTGAAATTTCCTATTGACCAAGCCTTAATGGTTTTGATTTATGTGCTACTAATATAGGATTCTTGACTTCAATATGTCATCTTTTAGTCTGAAATTTTAGTTTTAATAAAATATAATGAACATAGCCAAGTGAAGTTTCATAATAAAATTTTACTTCAGTAGATTTTTACTGCTAAGAACGTCTAGAAACAGTAACTAATAGTTGGATTCTCATTTACCTTATTATTGATAACTGGAGATGAAGGGAAATTTTTGTTTGAATTATGATCTATCACTTCTGATTGAGAAATTTTTTAGTATTGAAAGCAAATACCTTTACTTGAGACTGTTTCCTGGTCATTTTTCCTAATGATTCTAGGTGACGGTTTTGGCACTGGAGATGGGTCTCTTTCAGGGGACCCTTCAATGTGGCTTCCAAACTGTTGACGCCTCAGTTTACTGTCAGCTTCCAGTCTTTCTAGTGTAGTCTTGAGACATTGCTCACTGGTTGTCATATATAATTTACAAAACTAGAAGAAACAGGAAAAAGTCAGCTGGTGGGGAAAATGTTCAGTCCTACACCTGGGAGGTGAGGGAGGCAAATACACATTAGTAGGCAAGGAGGAGGCTGGGCAAGAAAACGAGTTTCTTATTTTACTTGTTGTTCGTGTTATTTTCCCTCAACCAGACTGCCCAGCCCCAAGTGACCTAGTGAAATGTAGCCATCAATCAGTGAGGTCACACTCTAAGTGAAAATGAATGGTACAAAGGGAGAGGTGATTTATTTATTTTTTTTAACAAGACACATAGACTTGCATTTGTTCTAAATAATTTTTATGACTGTTCCACCCTAGAAAAGATTCATTTCTAAAGGGAGCCTCTATGCTTGTTTGTATACCTGTATGTGCACATATATATTTTTTAACTTGGTTATATAGGTTGAGTGGCTCTTATTCAAAATGTTTTGACCAAAAGTATTCTGGGTGACTTCAGAGTTTGGAGCATTTGCAGATACACAATAGGATATATTGTGGTATCTAACTCTAATTGAAAAATCCACTTACATTTCATGAACTGCTCTCACAAATAGCCCAGAGGAAGTTTTATGCAATACATTTAGTAGGCCTTCAAATGAGCTTACACATGGAATTTAGCTTCAGATTTTGGAGCATATCATATTTTGAATGTTCAGATTAGGGAGGCTTTCCCTACACTATTTTTAATATAATCACCCCATGATTATGATTGTAAGACTAAAGAGGATAAATTAAAAGTACACTGGGTATACAGAATAACACTATGCCCTTGCCAAGATGAAAGAGAAAAACAAACCCGTATTCAGAGGCTGGAGTTGTTTCTTGGTAGTGTGTAGCACATATGAAGCCTTGGGTTCAATACAATAATAACAGACATACTTATCTGATACGGTCTATTGTGATATGGTCACAATGTATGCCTATATCAAAAGCATCTTTGTATACAGTATCAATGTTTATAATCTTGTCAGTTATACCTTAGAAGCACTGGGGAAAATGAAAAGTGATTTCCTACCCAACATACAAATATGTATCAATAAGGGCTTATCTACCTTAATGTAGTCAAACTTTCCATTAGCATTTACATCAGCCAAGTTTATTACAGCATTTACTTCTTCCTGAGTCATCTTCTCACCTCTCTAGAAATAAAACAAGACATATTTTTTAAACAACGTAATTAATGCTTTGTTATTTACAGTGATGGTAGAAATGCATTTTTTGTTTTTTATTTTTTTTTTAGTCCATTTCGCTATATAGAACTGGCTGACCTGGAATTTACTGTGTGGTCCAGGTTGGCCTGAAACTTACAGAGATCTGCCTGCCTCTGCCTCCCAAGTACTGGTATTAAAGATGTAGGTGGGCTACAGAGCCCCATTGAAAATATATTTTTATCTCTACACATAAGTTTCATTACAACTCAGAATGAGAATATTAAGCAACAATGAGAGTATATTAAATAAAATTTCATAAAATTACTGAATTTTGTGTAAATATGCTTAATTTCAGTTTCAAGAATTTTTACAATTATGTTACATTGTTACAAAAAATTTAACAATTTATGTTACAGAGTCAATAACAATGGTTACTGAAGTTAGAGTAATAATATCTTCTCAAAATGTTCAAGAAACAAAGTGAGTGTAGCATAGTGGTGGCATGCCTATAATCCCAGCACTCAGAGGCAGAGGCAGAGGCAGGTGGATTCCTGAGTTCAAGGCTAGCCTGGTCTATAAAGCGAGTTCCAGGACATCTAGGGCTACACAGAGAGACCCTTCTAGAAAAACAAAAAGAACAAAGAAGCAAAATGACTTCTAATCACAGATGTGCTTCTTTTCCTTTTACTAAACACATGAAAATCATGGGGTTTGGGAGTTCTGAGCAGAAAAGAATTACATAGGGGTAACGGAGACTGAAGAACAGGTTCAACATCATGCTTTCTCTGCTATTTATAAAGCCCTTTCCATAGGAAAGGATTGTAAATTATAAATACTGTAAGCTATTCATTTCATATGTTGGGAGAATACTTACTTAATGTGGATCTTGGTAGCCAAAGCTGGACTCCAGTTGCTTTATGCACAGTATAAAACTCTCACAGGTCTTACCTTCGTTAGATATTTATGAAGGTCAGAGTGTAGAATACAGCCATCATCATTTACATCTAATTGTTTAAATGATTTTAGCAATTCTGATTTTGAAGTAGGTTTTTCCTTGCTTAAAATTATGCAAAAATCATCAAAATTCAGTTTGGCAGTTTGAGGAGTCCAATACTTATTAATGGTCTTTTGGGATGGATTTCTTCCCGCATGCTGAAGAGCTGCACAATTGAAAAAAAAAAAGTATATTATTATAACATTTGGATTTGATATTTGAGTATTCTTTTTCTTTAATCCCTATATATTGGTAAGCAAATCCAATTATCTGTCACTGCATCGCCATTGGTACTGACTATACAATTACATCAATGTGTGTTTCTCTAGATAGTTCTATCCATGTATGTATGCCTCATTACTCAAAGCAAAAAGTATATATTTTGACCATCTAGAGAGACTTAGCATATAAGTGGCAGAACTGATGTTTTTCTTTCTATCTGTTTGGTTTTCAACCTACTTAACTGTCACTATGTGGTTTACTTAAAAACTTTATTTTTTGAGGTAGGTTCTCACTCTGTAGCCCAGTCTACCCTGGAACTCATTTTGTAGATCTTGTTTGGTCTTCAACTTGATGTGATCTTCCCTCCTACACCTCCAAAGAGCTGGGATTACCAGCTGGTTTATTGAACTTTTAGAGAAAACAAGGTTGATTGATGTTTTGTTGTTGTTGTTGTTGTTGCTGTTTGGTTGGTTTTTGTTTGTTTGTTTGATTTTTTTGTTTTTGTTTTTTTTTTTTTTTTTGAGAATACACAAAGAACATAAATGACTACTTTTTCAGGTTGACAGATATTCCAGTAAATGGAAGAAATCATTTGTTTGAGAACTTTAATGTCAACAAGGTGTAGTATCTATAACGTTCACTAGAGGTAGGTAGTAGGGGCTCCAGAATATCAAACATGTTCCAAATGCCAACTATATGGACAAAAGCATCCATTTACAGAGCTAGTGAGATGGTTTCAGTAGGTGAAGGCATTTGCCACCAAGCCTGACAACCTCAGTTCTATCCCCGGGGATGTGATGAAGATTAGTAAATACAAAACAATTACAACAAATATCTACTAGGAAAGAGAAACTAGATCAACATAGTAAATTTAAATATTTGAATCAATTATAGGGCACTTGCTGCATATAATCATACAAAGGGTAACTTGGTTTTTTGAAGACACAAGCTTTTTGGATCCAAAGTTGCTCTGTGATATAAGTGTATATTCTACATCTTTTAAATGTTTACATCGTCTTTCCTAACTGCAGATGTTTCAAGGTTGACATCTATATATTGATCTTTTGCTTCTGGTGTACTGAAGCTTGGCCATGTATCTAATACCTGTGGTCCTTCTGTGTAGACTCTGAAAGGAAATGTCAGACCATATGTTATGTGATAAGGGCAGATGCACATGAAAATGAGTAGTAAGAAACAGATGTCACTGACGTACTTATTCCTTTATAAAAACTATCTTTAGCCCTACAGTGCTACAAAGAATATTCCACCGTAAACCAAAACCATATGTATGTAACACTGGAGGTGCAAAAACTGCTAAATTTTCTATGAAGATAATTTTACAGGGCTGACAGTATTTCATTAATACATATTAATTAACAGTTCAACAACTATACCAGAAGCTAGTTAAACTTTCAAGTTAGCAAATTCACTGCCTCTATTTTCTTTCTTTCTTTTTTTCTTTTTATTTATTTATTTGTTTGTTTGTTTATTTGTTTATTTATTTTGCAGGGAAGGAGATTCAAGACAGGGTTTCTCTGTGTAACAGTCCTGGCTGTCCTGGAACTGGCTTTGTAGATCAGGCTGGCTTCGAACTCACAGAGTGAGACATGCACCACCATGACCAGCCACTGTTTCTATTTTCAAAAGAAAAAGAAGAAGAAGAAGAAGAAGAAGAAGAAGAAGAAGAAGAAGAAGAAGAAGAAGAAGAAGAAGAAGAAGACAACTCATATATTTCACCAACAGAAGCAAAGTAAGTTTTAATTAATTGGGTTTCTGCCCATACTATTTAATATATGCCAAATAAACACAAGTACTTAAAATTCAAGATGTAAGTTTACTAATTTTAAAATTATGTAAGTCAAAGTAAAAGGTACACATAATTTTGAAAATTGCTGCCATCATGTGCATTTGTTCTCTAACTAATAATGTCTCCTATTTGGATATCAAATATGTTTTAATCTTGTCAATTTTTATCATTCTCCCAAATGAATTTTCTCTGAAAGCGATCATATGCATAAAACACCAAGACATTTCTGCAGAAACACAGCAGAATTTTGGTTTAAGGAAATTACTTCTAAAGATGGCAAAGAAACTCAGTTTCTCTGTTCATAATTTTAGCTTGATGAAACCGACATGAACCATCAACATTTCTTGCTATTGTTATTTACCCCTCTCTAGTGATTAAAGACTACCAGAATCAAGATCTCCAAGTTATTTGTCAGCCTGCTAAGGATCACATGCAGTGATATAGAAGACTTTTGCAGCCAAAAGAATTTTAAAGTATGATAATGAGTAGAATAAGAAAACCTCCCAACTCCTAATTCTCTTCTAAATTTTCATTCATTTATAAATTTCTTTTACAGTTATTTGATCCCAGTTTTGCAAACTCTTTATCTTTTCCTTAAAGTAAGTCAAAATTCAGACTAGTAAGTCAGATGGCAAAAGGGTTTTGATTCTATTATTATAAATCTAAAGCACCACCATGACAAAAAAAAAAAAAAAACTGCAACAGTAACAACTTTTAAGCAAGTAGTAACTGATGGAAGCTTTGAATACATAATGTACACACACACTCTCTCTCTCCCTCTGTTTCTTGTTTCACTATGGAATTAGCGACTCAATGATGTAATTCTAATTCAGACTTTTCAGCCTATTAACTTTCAACAAATAAGGCAAAATATTCAACTTAAAAAAAATTACCTAGGTAAAGTTGATCTTTAGAGATAATGTTTTCCAAGCTGCTTTTGAAGACAGTTAAGTAGGCGGCTCTACAATTCATATAAAATGCCTCCTGCTCAGTTAGTGGCAACCTCTTTGTTCGGGGACTCCCCGAAAGCATTGGTTTCTGAGTGCCCAAAGCTGCATCACTTCCAGGATTGCTGGCCATTCTATCAGAAAACAATCAAAGTTTTTACTTTAGTTGATGTAAATCATCTAAAATTCAAATATACCACTGTGTTGTGAGGCATTAGGTTTTTAAAGTTTTTATAGAGTAAAAAAAAAAAGTCATAGCATCTATAGTAATTTACCAGTGCATGTTACATCGAATAAATCCTTAATGACTGATTTCAATTATACACACACATCTATATAATTCCTCAAATACATAATATCCCAAAGAACAAAGATGTAGCATAATAGAAAAGAATCAGAACAAAGAAAAGTCATACACCCATTATCTCCAACAAAGAGGTCATGTGGGACTTCAAAAGGTTAAGATACTCCAGTTCACAAATGTGAAGCATACAGAAAACTACAGGACACGAAATGCTAAAGAAACTGTAGACTGACTAGAATTCCCTAACAATGAGATATTCTACGTAAATCAACTGCAGTTGACACCCACCCTGCATAGGAGGGTTAACTAAATCATTTCATTAACATTTCCATAATACAGCACATGCCACATCACTGAATAGTTGAATTCTCATTTATTACCACTGGGCTTTACTGGTTCCTTTTTACTGGGTCCATACAGAACCTCTCTGTTCATAAGATATTAATACATAATTATACATCTTATTTCATCCTTTACTGCACTGATCAGGCACTTTTTGTCCATTTTGCAGATGATGAAATTGAGAGACAGAGATGTCACCCAGTTAACAGTAAGTTGTGAGTTTTCAGTAGTTTCTTCTGTTAACATGTATGAAGGTTTATTGAACAAAGGCTACTATGAGGTGCTAAATTGTCCTGGTGTTCTAATGGCTTCCAACATTACTTTATCCTGCGTTGACTTCTAAAAATACATTCCAATCTAATAAATTGAATAGTTCAAGTTGAACAATAAGATGACACAGGTAGAGTCCCCTTCAGGACTCATTGGATTCTTACTCGGGAGGCCTAAATCACTGGCACCTTCTTGAATTATGTAGGTCTTTTACACTTGGGAAAGAAAGATAATAATCGCTTATCATGGATGAAGTACCCTATTTATAATACACAGACCGCCTGTCTGACACTTTCATATTACACCAGATTTAGAAGGACCCCATAGGGATGTGGTGTCACAGTCTGGTTACTGCAAATTGGTATCACCATAATTAAACATCAGTTTTAAACACATATGCGTGCATGCTGTCTCACAAATGTGAGAGAAAACTGTTCCAGTAAGAAAGAACGAGCACTCACTTTACAGCAAGCAATTTAAAAACATATTTTTAAGGATCTTCCTCAAACGCTCTTTCCAAATAGGGCTATTCTCACATGGAAATCCCATGGCAGAAATGTTCCAGAATTCCATTCTTTCCCTTCCTGCGAAAAAAGTCTAAACTGACGCTTAAATAAATGTATAATTGCACCCCTAGGGCTCGGGAACTCCCTATTATTTAAAACTCAAGCCCAAGACTGAGACAGGGGCCTGGAGAGCACACTGTAACAAACGGCTCCATAAATATCCAGACACACAATAAGCAGGAAAAATAAACTGTTAACAAGCGCCTAAGGCGTCAAAGGGCCGAGTGAAAACAGCCACCCAAGTCACCGTCGCTGCACCATGTAATAGTCACAGCTAATGGGAGACAAGCTGTCTCCGTTTTGTATCCCTCTAGTCACAATGCTGCTGCATTCCTGGGTGTTTCAGGTGCATGCACGCGCTGACACAAAAGTAAACGTAGCAGGTAGGAGAGGCAGCCACACAGCGAGGAGCAGAGCGAGCGGGAGGGCGAGAGTGCCGGTTGCTACCTAATTGCAGCTCACAAACCAAGAAGGGCAGCCAATTTTCTTTAGTAGTTTCGTGAATCTCTCAGCGCAGCCCGGCAGACCTCCACCTTCTTTCAGATTACCATAGCAACTGCTCCTCTCCGCCACCGGAAGTAAGAGGCAGAGCTCCTCCCAAACAGTCCGATCAGAGGTCCGTGGACCTCTGACCAGGAGAGCACAGTCACAGCACTGTCGCTCGACTATTGAGAGGCTGCTTTGTCTGGAATAGTGAGAGAGGGTCGGCAAGGGCTAGGTGGGGCACTGACCCTGGATTCCCTGCACACCCCTTTCCTCACACACATTCGGCCTCTTTATCGCGCGGAGGCTGTTTCCAGCGGACCGCGGTATGTGTGACACCGCACCCAGTGCCTACTGCGCGGGCTTTTTGTGCTTCCGCCGCTGCGGTGTCTCAGTTGGTTCTATCCAGCAACCGTGGCCCTTCCCAGAGTCCCGAAATGTCGTAGGTATCTCTTCCCTGGATGTTGCTGTTTTGAGGGGCCCTCTGTGATTAAAAGGAGTGTACTATGTGGCCCCGCAGTCACCTTGACTTTTCTGTTTCTCTAAACTTGTCTCTGTTAAGAGTCAGGATGCTTGGTTCTCTCAACCCACCCTGCTCTTGAGTAATGTGTAACTGGAAATAACTTAGATAGGGTCAACATTGAAACAAAGGGGGAAAAAAAGTTTTGTTTTTGTATTTCTTTCCTTAAAGAGTAATTGGGGTAATGGCCAATGGCGAATGAAGGAACCAATTTGTTGAAGACTGCATACAGCCTTTAAAGTGTAAGGGCAAGCAAAAATAAATAATTGTGTGTGCTAAGATTTTAATGGGAAAAAATAGGGGCATAGCATGAAATTCATTTTAATGGTTGCTTCATGGGGGAAGCCGGTGAGCTAGGGGAGGAGCAGATGTATCCAGTCATCTTGGTGATACCGTTGCTTAAATTGGGTGATGTTGCTTGGTTTTTATACTTTGAACATCATTTTTCTTTTAGTATGAATCACAACCAACTTAAGTAGCTTTTTGTGGCTTGGTTTTAAGATTTAGAGTTTACCTATATTAAGTTCTTAGTAAGTATAGTTTCTCTACTATCTGTTGGATCCCCTGAGAAACAGGAGAATCAACTAATTGCTGCTCCTAATTTCTTTAAGCTAATCTCATCGACCACATGTACCCGATTTTCTCCGTATGTTCTAAAGCCAGAGACAATATGATTTATCTAGGTTGCAGTGTTGACTCTTAGATGTGAAGTAGAAAAATCACTTGGACTCAAACACACCAGGATTTGAATACCCATGAATAAAATAGTTGATCAATAAATATTAATGGTAAAGTTGCTGTTAAAAAAAAAATGTGCTATGATGGATGTGGTGGTAGTACCTGTAATAACTAGAGGAAGGAGAAACAAGATCAGGGCTAACATAAGGCTTGGACTTCACAGTGGAAGAGGGATCAGCAGCAGCTGATTTAGACTATCTGGAGAAATTTTACACCATATCTATGTTCTGTATTACTAATGGCAAGTGTAATAGACCCATGTCTTCCATCTTTTCACTTGTAAATTTCCTAGTTATAATTGAAGCTTTTCCAATTACCGTATATTATGCTGCTTCAGCCAAAGACACTCAACTAATTTCTATGGGAACTAACTTAATTCTGTTCCAAAGTTAGAAAATTTGATTAGCATTAGTGTTGGAGTTTCTAACTATGACAGTGTTCTCAGAGTGGGTTAATTCTGCTTATATTCTTTAAAAAGTCAGAGTTTTCTGAAAAGAAATTAAAATGTACAATTTTTAACTTTTTTAAAATTTTTTTTTAAATAAAATGACTGTCTAGTGTAGCCCAACCTCACTCTGTTGCTGAGGCTGGCCATAAACAACTAATCCCACTGTCTCCATTTCCCAGGTGCTGGTGTTGCAGACATGACCCATGCTGATTGACTTGAAAGCCTAGCTATTTTATTACACTTATTTGGGTTGTTAGTCAGACTGGTGCTAATGTCAAATGCAATTATTTTTATTGTGTGGATTGATTCAACCCCCAGTGAAATGTTTTTCTTTATAAGAGTTGCCATGGTCTCTTCACAGCAACAGAAACCCTAACTATGACAGTCCATCACTTTTTTTAGTTTAGCCTCCATTAGGTTCTCAGGCCAATGGCTGAAGACAGCCATATTTTTTGCCAAAATGTCACTAGAATGGCCTATTGCTAATGTTGCCTTGTGAGCTAATGAAACCTTGTGAGCTGAGCCTTTGCCACCTGCATTACTCTCAGTACTGCTGTCTTCCAGGATCCTTCTAGAACAGCTTGCTAAACCCTGCTTACAGAATTCAGCCATTTTTTTTCTAGTCCAAAGTTCTAAAGTCTTCCACATTGCTCCAAATAGTAATAATAGCAATGGCTATGTTCTTCAAAACAACAACCTACTTTCATTACCAACTTTTCTATTGCTGTGATAAAACCATGACTAAAAACAACTTATAGAAGAAAGGGTTTGTTTTGGCTTATGGTTCTATAGGCATAAGAGCATGGTGTGAAGCATGGCAACAGGCATGGTGGAAGGAGCAGGAAGTTGGTAGCTCATATCTTGAACCACAATCATGAAGCAGAGAACAAACTAGAAGAGGTACAAAGTTTTTTTTAATTGGTTTTTGTTGTTGTTTTTATTTGTTTGTTTTGTTTTTTGTTGTTTTGTTTTTCAAGAAGGGTTTCCTCTGTGTAAACAGCCTGACTGTCCTGGAACTAGCTCTTATAGACCAGACTGGTCTCGAACTCACAGAGATCCACCTGCCTCTGCCTCCCAAGTGCTGGGATTAAAGGCGCGTGCCACCATCGCCTGGCAAGGTACAAAGTTTTAATGCACTTCCTTCAGCAAATCTGCACCACACACACCTCCAAACAAAGGGGGAAAGTTCAATACAGACAATTGCATTGTATCAATAACTTGTTAAAATTTTGATTATTAATTTTATGTAAGAAAATTATTTGTATTTGTGTAAAACATAAGGAGGTTTGTGTGGTGGCACATGCCTATAATCCCACAACCTGGAAGATAGAGGCAAGAGGATCAGGATCTGCAGATTAAAGTCATTTTCAGCTGTCTACTGAGTTTGAAGCTATCCTGTGCTGCAAGAGGCTCTATTGAGAAGAAGAAGAAAAAAAAAAAAAAGTTGTGGAAGGGAAAGAACATGGAAATACTGCTTCAGAAAATCCTTCATATTTACATGTATGCACATGTATGCTCATTAAGCAAATGAGACAAAATTTAGACAATTGGTGTATTTGATTTTTTGAGAAAGTATCTAAGACTAGCTCAGGCTCTCAGGCTGACCTTGACTTACTTTCAGTTATCCTGCATGTGTCTGGACCCCTATCCTTTGGAATTAAAAAAAAAAATTATAAAAATAGTTATATCAAAATTTACTGGTTTGTTTTTAATAAACTAATGAATGAATAAAATAATTAGTTAAACACAACTAAGGAAGGAATTTAAATAATTGGAACATAAATATGAAAAAACTACTTAGAGGGCAATAACATGAAAAATTAGTTCAGAACCGGGAAGATGTATTGAGAGTAAAAAATTGATTTTTAGTAACTTCAGGGTTAGAAAGGTAGCATGGAGCAGAAGTAATGTTTGAGGAGATTATAGCTTTTATAGAATTGATGAAACACATCAACTCAGAAATCTACTTTAGATATAACTGCATTAATATAACATCTTTGAAAACTGATATTTAAAGTACCCTGAGTGTAGTTGATGAAATGTCTTTTAAGAGGCAAATGTGGGGAGGCGATGCTTTACCAGTAGAATGCTTGCCAAGCATTCATGAGACCTTTGATTCAATTTCTAGTATTGCCTCCAAATATATAACACACATATGTGTTTATATATAATATATTTATGTGTGTCATACATCTTTACATTATATATCATGACAAATACATACTTTAAAGACATACCTAGGAGTTTCAAACCAAACTAGTCTACATATGCAAGAGTGGGGCACCATAGGAAATTGAAATAATTATTTGAGACATGATTTTAATGAAAAAAATCACAATTGATTTTTAAAATTAATAATTTAACAATATGCCAATTACTCTCAGGCTCTGAGAATCAAAATATGTACTATCTAGTGGTTTGAATTTGCATCTTAAGAATAAACATCTTAAAAACTTAATTCTTATTAAATAACAGACAAGACCTAGTTATTTAGTAGTAGGGAAGAAAACATACAACTTTGGCATAAAACAGTGAGAAGGTCATGCACAAATGCTGTTGAAGAGAATAGGATACTTACTGAAATTTGAAAGTATGGCAACTGCATGGAGATGATTATTGGAGTCTTAGAAGTATAGTAGACTTCAATATCAATAACAGTGGATATGTTTCATTTATGTGTGTATGTGTGTTATGAAATATAATTCATAAAGAAAAAAGTGCAAAAAACATCACCTCATCACCTGCCATTTAAAATTCTATAGACCTGTGTAAGCCCTTTCAATTGGTAGGAATCTTTTAAAGGGCTTATTACTGTCAGATACATGTACAAATATTTATTTTTTATATTGAAAAGATCATTTAGTAGTGAAATGGTCTTAACTTGATCTCTCTTTTTATTATAAAAATATCTCACTTCTGTCTGTATTCTATGGTTAATATTCCCAAATATGCCCACTAACTTCTGTAAAAAACATTTCTTTGGCTCATTATTAATCTTTTGATAAGGAAGGTTTTGATAACAAAGTACATTACCTAATAATTTGCCAACATTTTTGCTGGTTGTGTCACAAAGTATCATAGCAACTGGTCCCTTTAGATAATTCCCATCATACTCATACTTTATTTGATGGGTGGAATCCCGCTCACCCATGCTATGATGGAGATTTTGTGTGTGGTTGTGGGAGGTTTTGTACACAAACATACGCTTGAATGAAAAGGAAAGAACAAAACAGATATAGAATCCTTCTCCTTTTCTTTCTCTTATGCAAAATAGAAAGTAAATCATTGCATATACCTCAAGTTACATTTAACTTGAGTTATGAATTTGGCCATTGCCTTTTATCAAAGGGTTTCTAAGCATATCAGGAAGCACACTCACACGTCCTCTAAACACTCCTGCAAAGTTGGTAGCTGGCAGCATTATTATATGTCCATTATACTGAGGAGTAATTGAAGCACTGAAATACTAAGTGATATTTTTATCTTCCATCCAGAAATCCTTACCATTTACAGGCCAGTATTACCAAGCTTATGAAGCTTATGGCAATTATGTGGTTTGCCCAACCTTGGGGAGGTATTTGGCATAGCATAAGGGATTCATTCCCCCCAGTCTTATCTACTTTCCTAAGTTTACTCTTCACCATCAACTACTGCACTGGACCCTACCATTCAAAATCATATTTAACAATTTTAAAGTTCTATAAGAAAAGGATTTCATTATATACTTTTGTGAACTTTCATGGTATCATTCCTTCCTGGCTAAGAATAAGTGATAGCTTTCCCCCTTAGAACCACATATTTAGTGTTATAACTGTTGTTAGTCACACTATATGGTAAAACTTAACTACTCATTTTGTTGTGCTGAAGCTTAGAATCCTATTTAAGAATACTATATCATGTGTTAAGCTAAACAAAACGGTGGACCATTCTTAAAGAATATTACATAATCCTACCTGCTGAAAACTGCACACCAAATATATTTGTCTTTATGAAATTGCAACAGCATGAAGTGTAGTAGCAACTGTGGTTTTGATCCCAATGGTGTTAACAGAAGAAAACAGCTTCAGGAAGGAAACATCTATTTTGGCTCACAGTTTTAATCCAATCATTCCATCATGGCACTGTGGCATAGTGGAGCAGTAACTCACACCTGGCGGCCAGGAAGCAAAAGGAAAATACCTGTATATGCATATATGTTTCCTATGTCCTTTTCCTCCCATCAGCACCCCCAGTCTAGGAAGTGGTTCCTCCCATGATCAAGGTGTGTTCTAAGAATGCCTTCATTGAAACTCAGGGTACTTCTCAGTCTAGTCAGATTGGCCGTTAAGGCTAACAATCACACAGAGAATCTAAACCTACTACAACCAAACATGGGATATAAGAGTCAGCTGCAGGAGTAGGTGGGAATTTGGGAAAGTGGAAAATGAGAAGACACCTGCAGTGATAAGATTACCATTAAGTAGGAGTACATCCATACTATTGTGTAACCATTACCACATTTTATCTCTAGACCATTTTCATCTTGTGAGACTAAAACCATGCTCTTAAACAATAATTTCCCATTCCTTCCTGCCTCTAGCCCATAGTAGTCACCATTTTATTAACATGTCTCTGAATTTGACTACTGTCATATGAATAAAATCTTAACAGTTTATGCTTTTGTAACTGGCTTATTTTACATGGGGCAATGTCTTCAGGGTTCATCTATATTGTAATAAATGTCAAATGTCCTTGTTGTTTTTATTTGTTTATATTTTAATTAAACAATAATTAATTATACCACTTCTCCCCAAGCCTTCCAATGTCCCCCTTCACTCCCTTTGAAATTGGTGGCCTGTTTTTATTTGGTCATTATTGCTACAAAAACATGTACATGTAAATACAACTGCTGAGTCTGTTTAGTGTGGTTTACTACAGGCAGCTAATGACCACTGAGGGAGAATTAGCCTCTCCCAGAGATGTGCCCCCTAATTGGTTATCCACTACAATGTAGTCAGGCCTGAATCAAATTTTACTTAAGTTAATATCCACATATGTACATGCCATGCTTTGTGTATTAATTCATCTACCACCAGTCACTGGGCTGCTTCTGCCATCTTGTCATTGTAACAAAGCTGCCATGAGCATTGTTTTGTACACGTCCATTCATGTCCTGGCTTTCAGTTTGTTTTGGAGTTGGGATCCCTGAATCATGGTAAGTCTGTCTTTAATATTTTGAGAAACCATATTGTTTAAATAGTGTTTTGCTGGTTTACACTCTCATTATCAGTGTGCAAGTCTTGTTCCTCTGCATCCTTGCCATACTGCTTATTTTGCATTTTGTTTTCCTATAATGCTACCATACTAGTAGTATTTAGTAACATGTAGAACCTCCTAGGTCTGATGTGGATCCCATAGTTACTATTGACCACCTTTTCTCTTGCTTGCTGGCCATTTTTATATCTTTGGAGAAATGTGTATTCAAATCCTTTGCCCATTTTTTTTATAACCCTCCTTGCTTTCTTTTTCAATAATTTCTTAAGCCTGGCCTTAAACTCTGGATCCTCTGGCCACAGCTTCCTGAATGTGCAGTTACAGGCATCTATCATTCTAATTGTTTGCATGGGGTTTTTTGTCATTGTTGCTGTTTTGTTTATTAAATTACTTTTTAAACAAGATAGTAGCCTTAAGATCCAGTTACAACTTTAGAATTTCCAGAAAGATCCTTATGTCTAGCCAGACTTTACTTGTTCTTCCTTGTGAGTTTCATCTGTTTCTGCTCTGTTCCTATCATTTCATCCTCTTGTATCAGTTGTTCATGGATAAAGGAATACCTGTGTAAGCAGTAGATACTTAATTTAGCAATTGATGACAATGTGTCCAATTCTGATTGAAAGGCAAATTATCATAAGTTCTTCTAGTAACTTTGTTCTTTTCTTAAATGATCTGTAATTTTTTTCTCTCAATTCAAGACCTATGTCATTAGTTTGTATGCATTAATAATAAACTCTGAGACACCAATAATGTGTCAGTGTCACATTAAGGACAGAAATCAGAGCACTTCTTTTTATGTCATCTAACCAATAAAGAGCCCAGATTCGAGTTCCCCACTTCACCCTTCCAATGCCTTCTGTCCTTGTTTGTCTAAGAGTCTGAATCTGTGCCTTCCTGAAGGCTGTCTTGTGAATCTGTGTCTGTCCCTAACAGAGTCCTTGTTTTGTATTTATTGAGCAGCACAAAAAGTATCACATGGGGGAAGGAATGAGGGCTATTTTACAGAAGGCTAAGTTTCACAAGGGATTTAAGTCACTGACTTCAACTGACCCAAATAACAAACAGTATTGCAGGTATCTTTAACAGTATTAAGCAGTATCCAAGTTTTGCATTCAACATTTGTGGTGGATATTCATTCATAAGACTGCTTTCAGCCTATGTGCTGTTTCCAGCAAACAATTATCAGAACACATATGCATTACTCTGGGTCAGGGGCATGGAAGAGTACACAGTTTAAGATTACAATTATGCATTAGTTTTGTTGTAAAGTTGATTACATGGAAAATCCATGGCATTGGCAAGCTAAACAAACAGACTGATTACATAATAGGATAGCATTCCTCAAGATATGTTACTAGCTCTGGCTATAAGATCCAAAAAAGATTCCAGCCTCTTAGCATGTGAGAGATGTTTTTATCATAATGCATTAGCATAGAGCTGAGATTCCCTCTCAGAAAACATGTTACATGTAGCAAATTGCATAAGCTGAACTAAGTCATTTCTCAGATGTCTTCTCCTGTTGCCTATTAAATCTTCTTAGGAGACGTATTACCAATTTATTTACTACTCTGTTTCCTTCAGTAAATCCCATCTTTAGTTTCTAGACAAACGAAATAGATTGTAGCCTTTTATAATTCAATTCACTTTCTTGAAATTAACATTTCCTTGGCTTCACTGGTTCTCCTTTTTATCTAATCTGAACATGGAATTACTTTTTCTAAGAATTAGCAAATGCTAATACAGCAATAATATTTTGAGACTATTTTATTTTATCTTGGTTTTTCAAGACAGGGTTTCTATGTATTGCTTTGGAGCCTGTTTTGGAACTAGCTCTGTAGACCAGGCTGGCCTCGAACTCACAGAGATCTGCCTGCCTCTGCATCCCGAGTGCTGGGATTAAAGGCGTGTGCCACCAACACCCGGCTTGAGCTTTGTATTCATATAAAAGCTAACGCCACAGCATTTGAAAACAGAAAAATGTGCTAGTAAATTTCTAGGATCCATATTTTTAGAAGGGGTTCTGTAAAACAATATCAATATCAATCTTACTTGGGGTAATTTCTGTCTCAGAGGTCAAGAAGTACTTTTAATACTGCATTTGGAAAATCAGTTTTAATTTATATTGACCTTTTTCTCCTTTGAGCATTCAATCTGCAATCAATAAAATGTTGATGACTGCTCTTTAGAAGGCAGCTGTACAGAATAAAGTATTATAAATATTCAACTTTCCTTTCTAAGCATTGTCACCAACAGCTGGGCATCCCATTTACCAGAACAGATTTTACACACAAAGAGCCTGGCATGCTCCTGAATCAGTGTGGTGGAGGAAACAAAAAATAGTTTCTTATGGATTGGGGACTTATAAAGACAGGAAGCATCTGTTCCCCTGTTAAATCGTAGTCTGCTTGCTCTGAATCATGTCCAATGCTAGGATAATGTGCAAAACCTTGCCTTACAAATACCTGTACCACTTAGCATTCTGTTCCTGAAAATAGTAGATTTTGGTGTCTCTATCAAAGGTATTTAGATTATTTTGCTGTTATGTATAATTTTTTCCTCATAATATTTTTATACAGACAACTGACTTTTTTTAACTAAAATTTTTCTATAATAAAAATTAGACTGAGGATGTAGCTCAGTGTTAGGGCTCTTACTACCAAACACAAAGCCTGGTTTTAGTACCTAGTATCACCACCAAAAAAAAGTAAAACTAATGTTTAAATTTTATATTAGTACACACACATACACACACACACGTATATAAATAGAGTGGCCTATTTAAATGCTTAATTAGGATCCCATGTTAAAATATTCTACTAGAAATAAACTGATAAAATAAAAACATTAAATCCAAATTTGTCATTATAATTAATTTTTCATGTGGCACTTAGCTTTAACAAGCAATATAAAAAAATAGTTGGTAAAAATAACTTGGACTCAGTTATTTCTATTTTATCCTAAAATATCAGCATAAAATAGATCATTGTCAAATGTAAAATTTCTTTATATATTTTGTTTGCAGAGTTAGAAGATCACTGAAACTGGATAACCAGTGTGAAGAAAAAGTAAGTATTAGTCTTTGAATTGTGATTGCAGCCTGGCAGTAGCACATGCCTATAAGCCTAGTCCCTGTTAGATGGAGTCAGGAGTATCCTGGGTTCAAGATCATCCTCAGCTACAAAGTCACCTGGGTTACAAGGGAGGGAGGAGGGTAGGGAGCAATAAGGGAAGAATGAGAGAAAATAAGCATTGTGATTGTATGGTTGTGATATTGTTTTTAACTTTTGCTTATTGATTTACCTTTCTAAGTATAACATTTATCAAAAACCATGACATACTTGTCGTTGATACAATGTTGTCTGCATATAAAATATTTTTCTAGTCTAGCATTCCAAAATTTCTTGTCAGCTTGAGATAGACATGTGAGAAGCAAATTGTTTAGTAACCTTTATAAAAATAATGTAGTAGGAATTAGTTTATAGAAGCTTGTCACCTCTCTAGAGATATACTTCTAATGTATAAAATTATATACGTATATTTAATGTATAAGAAACATGAAATGACAGCAGTATTTTAATCTATATATTGTAACCTACTAACGTAATATCGAAACGTTAATGGCATTGTTACATCAAAAGGTATTAATTTGTCTCAGCTATGCTGACATAGAGTAAATGACAGTACAACAGTATAATAAAATTTACCATGGCAATCACAACAAAAATAAAAGTGTACTGTTGGTATAATTTTCTAGATCTAGTCATAGAATATTCCCAGTGCCAACATGTTAGCATGGTAGCTATTAATTTTTACATACCAAGTATGGATATAGATACAAACACTATCTGGCATACTTATGATTTTTCTAATGTTAAATGTAAATAATTGGTAAGGAAGCAAATTAAAGCAAATTGCTAGTTAATAAATGGGCTCTTACAAAATCCCATGAGACTGCCACTTTGAGAAATGGTGGCACACACTTTTAATCCCAGCAGTCGGTCAGTAAGGGCTGGTGGATCTTTTGAGGTCGAGGCCAGTCTGCTCTACAGAGAGAGTTCCAGGACAGCCAGGGCTACAAAGAGAAATCCTGTCCTGAAGGAGTGGGGAGGGGACTCATTTTGGAAGACTTGTTGGTTTTAACAAAACAGAATATTATCATTTGAAAACCTTCCTGGATGCTTTAAAAAAAATTATACAAAGATGGCAAAATACTGCATTGGCACTAAAAAACATCCTTAAAGGTGTAATTAGCAATTTAAAGTACCATTATCCAACTTGTTGTATGCAGAATGCAGCTGTGACTGTAATTCTGCATCTGTTTCTTTGGTCAGAATGGTATTTTGGTAGATGAGTAGTCCAGCTTGAAATGAAGTGCTGTTCCTTCCTGCCCCAGAGCTGTTCTTTGAGAGATAGCAGCACCATTTGAATAGGGAAAAATGACCATTTCAAACCTATTCTCTTTCATGGGCACAGTTTTCAGCATGGCAGGATTTACATGTGTGTTTTGAGGATGTGTAGGTCAGTGTCACAAGAAATGTCCTGTGTTAGAACATATTGTTATGTTTGGCTAGTTCTATACTTTTAAACCAGCTGTCTTAAATATTAACTCAGTTTTTTTTTTTTTTTTTTTTTTTTTTTTTTTTTACTTGCTGTTAATTTACTTGTGTTTTCTAGTTGTTCGTGACTTAATCTGGGCAGGTTGTATGTCTTAGGGAACTTGTCCATTTTGTCCAAACTATATAGTGTAGAGTCATTCAGCATATTTCCTTAAGGGCCATTTTGTTTTTTCAAAGTCAGTGGATTGAGCAGCATTAATGGGAAAATCTGAAATGTTCTTAATTTTAGAATTCCCAGTAATAAACACGAAGTTATATCTTCCTCTGCCTTTTGGTCAGTCTTGTCACCTTCTTAGAATAATTTTACTTGTGACTATGTAAAAGTTCCTAAGTAGTGTCCATGTATACTTCCATCTTCCCTTTCTTCAACTTCAGTCTGGGATCGTGCACACATGCCTCAGCGTGTTCAGTGTATCTGCTCTGTTTCTTCTCAGTGCTGTAAGTTCATAGTGGTGTTACACTAAATGAACCTCACTCTCTCTAACTCCTGTGCTGTCACATTTACCTCTGCAGCAGGGCAGATCACTGGAGGCAAACGTTGTGAAAATCCTCACTAATGTGTCATCAAAGAAGCCAAAAGCCCAGAGTTTCTAAAGGTTAAGAGTTTTCATGCATTCATTCTGCATAGCAGCACAGATGGGTGCTGGGGACTGTCACTAAGATGTGTTTATTTGATGGTTGATTTGCTATGCCGGGCATTTCCTTTATGTTCAGTGGCATTCTAAAACCTATGCTTACCATCCTAGAGGTTTGATTTTGCTTTTTGTTTGTTTTACATACACACTGCCACTGTACATAGCAGCTGTAACTGATTCACAGTGAAGGATGTGGCACAAGTTGTGTTCCCTAAAATCAGAGGTTTGCAGTAGGGATCCTTTGGCATATGTAACCCTGTCTTCCTTTCCAGGTCCTTATCCTGGCCCTGGCCTAGGCTATAACCTATCTCCACCACATTCCCAACTATACTCATGTATCCAGTCTCCCAGTAGCAGGAGATAAAGTCCTTTTACCTGCCTACTAAAACCAAGTCTTGGGCTGGTGATACGGTTCCACATACAAAGGTGCTAGTTACACAAGCCTGGTGAGCTGAGGTCAACCTCTGGAACCAACCGTGGAAAGGTATAAGGAGAGATACAACTCCCAAAGAGTTGTCCTCTGACAACTCCCCTCCCCACATGTACACACATATAATAAAAGACACTGGTAGAAAAGCCAGCTTTTGTTGGAGACAGTGAGGCAGTTAAGTAGATTGTATGTCTCAAACTCCTGTTCTCTGTGGTAGTAAGACAAGAGAAAAAAGTATGCCTGCTGTGTAGACTTCACACTGCTGTTTATGATTCCTTGTGTAGTACAGGAATGAAGCACTTTCATTAACTTATACAAGTTTTAGATATTTATATTTAAAAGTATTTAAATGTGCAGGATATGCCATTTGTATACATTAGATGCATTTGACTTCCTGAAGAAAGTCGAAACCAAGGCGTTATAAGAACAAATAATGTCACAGTGGCCCAGGGTAAGGAGCAGTAAACTCAGGAGTTGTAAATCTACAGCTCCCTTATTGCCTGTCACACTCACTGTTCAGGAAGACTCCCCACTCTTTCCTTACCCCAATCTACTTGAGAGATTTCCTCCCGCAAGATGTAGTGCCTTGAGGTTAAGTCCATGAGCCTGGTTTTATACTTACCTTTTCTGTTGTGACATAGAAAGTATATCCCTGAAGATATATCTTCACAATTCCATACAGACAGACAGAAAGACACACAGCTAAAAATTCTGGGAGTGGAACCTCAGCCAAAGTGCAATGATTCTGGGGAGAGTTTTCACAGATCCTGTATCTTGTTTTGAATGACATGATTGGAACTCCTCTTCTCACCAACCTAGAAGAGAGTGATGCCGTGTATCCTAGCCTGAAACTCATGGCATTGCCAGCTGCCTCCACCTCCCTTCTCATCCCACTGTATTCCTCATGTTAGATAAAGGTAGAAACTCAAGTGAGACAGATTATGTGAGCACAGAGGCAAAGTGCAAAGCAGCAGAACCATTTTGAGTGTCCAGGAGGCTGACTTGAAGTACTCTTTCCATGTACCATTGCTTTTTCCCCCTTGGTATACTTAAGTTTTGCTTGACTCTTTATTCTCTTGAAAATTTTGGTTTATGTTATCTTTAATGGTTATCTAAATTTATCAAACATTTCAAAATATTATGTTCATTCAATGTAAAAAAAAACCCCTTTAATAAAGTGATTCTGTATGGGGGGAAAGCTTTTTAAAAAGATGTATGTGTGGGTGGATATGTACATGTATACATGAGTGTTCTTGGACGGCAGAAGCCTTATTTCCCTCTGAGAGCCAGAGTTGCAAGTCATTGTATGCTGCCCATTGTGGGTGCAAGGAACTAAATCTAGGTCCTCTGCAAGAGCAGTATGTGCTCTTAACCACTGAGCCACCTCTTCAGCCAGTAAACTTCCTGCACAAAATCATTTACTGACTTGAAATCTGACTTAATATGTAAAATATCATCCAGGAATAACTGTAATCTCCCCCCTCACCCCAAACAGGGTTTCTCTGTATGTCCCTGGCTGTCCTAAAACTTGATCTATAGAGCAGGCTTGCCTCAAACTTAGAAAGATCCACCTGCCTCTGCCTCCAGAGTGCTGGGAAGGTATGTGCCACCACACCCAGCATTATTGTTAGCCAAAAGGTAAGGCCTTTGGGAGAAAATATAAAAACCATCTTTGTGAATTTGCAGGAAGTAAAAATTTCTCAAGGCATAAAAAGTCATATTTACAAAAGAAAACTTACTAAATTAAATTTTCTTCTGATTTGAAGATTACATTAAAAGCTGAATAGATGCCAGTGATTTTTTTTTTAATTTGAAGTGTATTTTTGTTTTATAACAAAGTTTAAAGTAAAAAAAAATTCAAAATGACAAAGAAAATGAATAGGCAAGCTATGAACTCACAGAGATCCACCTGCCTCTGCCTCCCAAGTGCTGGGATTAAAGGTGTGCACCACCAATGCCCGGCTTGAGAAGAAAAATTTTTTTATGCATGTATCTGATAAGACTTAAGTTAAAGTATAGAAATAAGTAAATAGGAAAAAATGAAAAAAAAATGAACAAACTTTTAATCCCACTGAACAAGAATAAAAATCTTTACCCAAATTCTTTTGCCAAATTATGCAAATTGCATTTTCCATCAGACAGGGCTATCTCCCTAAAGCAGGGTTTGAGAAAATAGCATTGAACACAGGAGAAGGTGGGGTTTATATAGCCCCAAAATAGCAAGACTAGGGAGTTTTTCACGGGTTTCAGGATTTCCAGGAGACTTTTGGTTACATAGGAACTTGGGAAAACATCTCAAAATTTATTTGGCAAAACATCTTATCAGAGTGGATGTCAGAGTATATGATGTGGAGCATGTCAAATTCCAGAAAATAGATCAAGAC